GGCTCGATGGTCTACCTCAGCTTCAGTTTTCAGGGCTCGATGGTCTACCTCAGCTGCAGTTTTCAGGGCTCGATGGTCTACCTCAGCTGCAGTTTTCAGGGCTCGATGGTCTACCTCAGCTGCAGTTTTCAGGGCTGGATGGTCTACCTCAGCTGCAGTTTTCAGGGCTCGATGGTCTACCTCAGCTGCAGTTTTCAGGGCTGGATGGTCTACCTCAGCTGCAGTTTTCAGGGTTGGATGGTCTACCTCAGCTGCAGTTTTCAGGTCTGGATGGTCAACCTCAGCTGCAGTTTTCAGGGCTGGATGGTCTACCTCAGCTGCAGTTTTCAGGGCTCGATGGTCTACCTCAGCTGCAGTTTTCAGGGCTGGATGGTCTACCTCAGCTGCAGTTTTCAGGGTTAGATGGTCTAGCTCAGCTGCAGTTTTCAGGTCTGGATGGTCAACCTCAGCTGCAGTTTTCAGGGCTCGATGGTCTACCTCAGCTGCAGTTTTCAGGGCTCGATGGTCTACCTCAGCTGCAGTTTTCAGGGCTGGATGGTCTACCTCAGCTGCAGTTTTCAGGGCTCGATGGTCTACCTCAGCTGCAGTTTTCAGGGCTCGATGGTCTACCTCAGCTGCAGTTTTCAGGGCTGGATGGTCTACCTCAGCTGCAGTTTTCAGGGTTGGATGGTCTACCTCAGCTGCAGTTTTCAGGTCTGGATGGTCAACCTCAGCTGCAGTTTTCAGGGCTCGATGGTCTACCTCAGCTGCAGTTTTCAGGGCTCGATGGTCTACCTCAGCTGCAGTTTTCAGGGCTCGATGGTCTACCTCAGCTGCAGTTTTCAGGGCTGGATGGTCTACCTCAGCTGCAATTTTCAGGGCTCGATGGTCTACCTCAGCTGCAGTTTTCAGGGCTGGATGGTCTACCTCAGCTGCAGTTTTCAGGCTGGATGGTCTACCTCAGCTGCAGTTTTCAGGGCTCGATGGTCTACCTCAGCTGCAGTTTTCAGGTCTGGATGGTCAACCTCAGCTGCAGTTTTCAGGGTTGGATGGTCTATCTCAGCTGCAGTTTTCAGGTCTGGATGGTCTACCTCAGCTGCAGTTTTCAGGGCTGGATGGTCTACCTCAGCTGCAGTTTTCAGGGCTGGATGGTCTACCTCAGCTGCAGTTTTCAGGGCTCGATGGTCTACCTCAGCTGCAGTTTTCAGGGCTGGATGGTCAACCTCAGCTGCAGTTTTCAGGGCTCGATGGTCTACCTCAGCTGCCATTTTCAGGTCTGAGTTTAAGTTTTCAGCCAGTTGGTTCCGGATCTTAGCAGGCTGCCAGTTTGGTTCTGGTCTTACAACCAAAGACAGGAAGTCCTTGGATGACCTGAGGTCTACATCATCCTGGTCTTTGGTTGCTTTGGTCTCTAGTGTTTCCCGTTTGTCAGAAACTCCAAACCAGTCCAGCACAGACAGCAGGACCTGATTAGAATAATGAGATAAAATAGAAATCTGATCTGCTGAAAAAGGACCGTCCCTAATCCTAACTTTCATCTTTGGAGATACGCAGAACAAAGTGAGTGGTGCATCTAAACGTGGACGGGCCACTAAAGAGGAGGACCAGTCTGGAGGTGGTCTGGTTCTCATGACCTGTTATTGATAATTTCAGACGAATCTGAATGAAGATGGTTTTTAGAGACAGTCTGTCTCTGCGGTTCTAGAGACACTGTCTAACTTGATGGAAATGATTAGTCAACATCGGTTCAACATCTTGGTCTAATTTATCAGATATTTGCCACCGATCATTTCGACTCAGTTATATTGAGGGTTTTAATGTCAGGAAATGTGTAAAAGCTCTAGGAAAAGAAGATCTATGTTAAGACCTGTGTGTGTGTGTGTCCTCAGACCGTAAGGTGGTGTCCACCCACCTGCCGCTGGCCTGGACCCACAGCTCCCCCCTGGAGGAGCAGAAGCTCATGTCACTGCTGGAGGACCTGGCCAAGACGTTTGCTCCCCACTGAGACCCCCCCCCCCCCACTAACAGCCTCTGCTGATCAGGGAGATCTACTCCACCCGCTCTACCCGCTCCACCATCTGGGGGAGCAACAGAGCAGGTCCTGCAGAAGCAGCAGACTGGACGCTTTCTAACCGGCTTTTCTTGCTGTGCATCAGTGTTTGACGGCGATGCTTTCTGAAGCCAAACACCAGGATGGGACGTAGAAACGGCGCATCAGATGGAATCTGATCCGGCTGCAGTCCCTGCGTGTTTCAGGCAGGCTGCTGTTTCTCTGACGTCTGTGTGTCAAACCTCTAACCCTCGTCAGTAACCCGTCTGCATGGAGCTACAGCAGTGCAAGACCTACGCCGCGCGGCGGCATCACTCCACATATGCAGCTATGAAGTCACAGATCTGGGAGTCCATATTTGCTCAGACAGCTTTTTTCCTTCCACCTAACTTTTCCTTCCCTGATTCTGTAAAAACCTGCATCAATAAAAACGTTTAAAATGTTTTGTTCTGCTTGGTCTCATTTCTCTATAAAAACAACAAGTCAAAGGAATCCAAAGTGTTTATTAGGAGTTTCAGAGGACATGGACGCCCACGTCTGCTCCAATTATCAACAAAAACTTTTCAAAATATTTGCAGATGTACATTAATAACAACCCTGTAGGAATGGAAGGTTTTTACAAGCACAGAAGGTTTAACTATGAGCTGGAGGGAAGGAAGGTTCTGGGAACCAGAGAGCAGGAGGAGGACCACCGAACCCGCCGCTTCCTTCCTTTCAGGTTCCTGGAAAGATGAAGGTCAGTTTTAGGTCCACCCCGTGGATGTGATGATTAATAAAGGATGAGAAGAAGAGACTAAACTGCAGATCCGTGTTTCTCATGAAGATGGATCAATCAAAGGTTCATCATGGAGCTGCTGATCTTCACGCCATGCAGCAGATTTAAGGCCTCCTCTGAAGGGAGGGAGGGAACGGCTCTCCTGCCATTTTCTTTTCCATTGAGTCCAGATCAGCTGCAGCCAACAGCTGGTCCAAGAGAAGACCACCCAGACGTCCATTTAAAGCAGGCTAAAATATCACCGCTGCTGACCTTTGCTCCCAGTCTGATCCCAAAAACCAGGAAGAAGATGGCGGCTTCCAGCCTGAACCCACAGAACTTTAATGTTTTAATGTTTGGGGAAGAAGGTTCACTAAAGCTGCACGGCAGCATTTTAAGGGAGATCTAGCTTTAATTTCGCCAAATATAAAACCAACAGAAGCTTCTAGAAGATGCCTCCATTTTGGTTCTAAAGGCTCCGCTGATCTGTTCAGACTAGAAGATGTCGGGTCTCAGTACTGGTCCAGGTTCTGCTGTCACTTTATTAACCAGCCCTTCCTGGATGAACGGATGAGGTGATGGGTTCATCCGTTCTCCACGTCTTTGGAAAAAATGGAAAGAAGTGGTTTTAAAGTCCAACAGGAATCTAGACGTCTCTGGGAGCAGGAAATGACAAATCCAGAGCGTCGACACCTTCTACCACAAACAGAAATAAACACTAAAGATCTGAAACACAGCAGCAAGAAAAAGGAGGAGGGGGACAGAAGGGACAATCGGTCCAGGTAGGACGGTTACTGCTGCTAGATACTCCTGGCTCTACCTGGGACACGTGTGGAGAAGGACGATCTGAGGGACAGGATGGACGGTTATGGAGCTGGCTCTTTCTTTCAGCGTCTCTGGAGGACAGCTTTATCCTCCGACATCCTGAGCTGAACAATCGGGTCCTTCATCAGGTCTCTGCATGCCGCTGACCACTATGCTTGTTGCTATGGAAACCCAGTCCAACTTCCACATCTGGTTGATGGAGGTTCACTGATGCCTGGCAAATATCTGATAATCTAACCATCAGATATATGTCCAGTAACCATAGCGACAGACACCATCAGGACCGACGGGTGGTGACGGTGACGTGAACCTCCTGAGACTAAAGGCCCGCTGGTGAACGAGGGATGTGCAAACGGAGAGCGTGAGCATCTACAGGGACCAGCCTTGGAGTACGGAGGTTAGCGCCTAGCCGTTAGCTCTTAGATGCTAGCACCTAGCAGTTAGCTCCTACATGCTAGCAACTAGCAGTTAGCTCTTAGATACTAGAGCCTAGCGGTTAGCTCCTACATGCTAGCACCTAGCGGTTAGCTCCTACATCCTAGCGCCAAGCAGTTAGCTCTTAGATGCTAGCACCTAGCAGTTAGCTCCTACATGCTAGCAACTAGCAGTTAGCTCTTAGATACTAGAGCCTAGCGGTTAGCTCCTACATGCTAGCACCTAGCGGTTAGCTCCTACATCCTAGCGCCAAGCAGTTAGCTCTTAGATGCTAGCGCCTAGTGTTTAGCTACTACATGCTAGCGCCAAGCGGTTACGTCCTACATACTAGCGCCTAGCAGTTAGCTCTTAAATGCTAGCACTTAGCTCCTACATGCTAGCACCTAGCAGTAAGCTCCTACATGCTATGCATCTAGCGGTTAGCTCCTACATGCTAGTCCCTAGCAGTTAGCTCTTAAATCAGGGGTGCTCAAGTCCAGTCCTCAAGAGCTACTATCCTGCAAGTATTTCATGCAACCATTTTTAACACACCTGAATCAAATGCTCGTTACCATGCCTCTGATGAGCTAATGGGGGATTGAGGCTTTAGATTCAGGTGTGCTAGAGAAGAGATGCATATAAAAGTTACAGGATGGTAGCTCTTGAGGACTGGACTTGGGCACCCCTGTCTTAAATGATAGCCCCCAGCAGTTAGCTTCTAGATGTTAGTCCCAAATGGTTAGTTCTTAGATGCCAGCATTCAGCTGTGAGCTCCTAGTTGCTAGTGCCTAGCCATTAGCGGCTTGCCCCTGGAAGTTAGCACCTAGATGTTAACTTTTAAATGTTAATGCCTAGCTGTTAGCGCCCAGCGACTAACTATTAGATGTTAGCTCAAAGATCATAGCGCCATCGCCTAGATGTTAGCGCCCGGCCGTTAGGTGCTAGATGTTAACTCCTCTTTGAAGCAGCAAGTCAGGCTTTATGGGGAAAAAAGACCTTTATCAAAGAGTAATGGGATGACTGCAGTGTAAACATTAGCCCCCCCGCCACACACACTCACACTGACATTCATTCATTCATTCATTCATTCATTGTGCTTCGGGTTCTGTTTGAGACCAGAACAAAAGTCCACATCAGTCAGAGTCTCTGTCGACCGTCAGGAAGCAGAAAGAAGAGGGTGGGGCTGTGGGGTGGGGTGTAGTGGTCCGAGCCAATCAGCGCGGGGAGAAGCCTGTTGCTAAGCCACTGCCGACCACCTGTGTCATGTCCCAGATCTGCGGAGATGGACATGGTCAGAGTTAGGACAGCTGGACAGGACATCCAAAGGGACTTTTTTTATTCCAACTTTATTTACAAAACATTAAAACACAGGAAAGAAATGATGGAGCTAAAGCTGCAGCTAGGAGATCTTTCACAGCTTCTCCTCTTGGGCTGGTCAGAAGGAACCAGAAAGATGTTTGGACCTTTTAGTCCAAACTGGGATTCTGATGCATTAGAAAAAGTCCAGTGAAACCAGAACGGCCTGCTGGTCGTCCAGTCAGAGTGCTGCAGCCATTTCTACTCTGAACCCGGAGAATTTTCAGATTCAGATCACTGACTAGAACACTGACGTTTGATATTCTGAATGTGACCCGATGAGGACGAGTCAGAACCGGGTTGAAGCTCATTTCATTCATTTCTGAGGAGAGCAAAGACCCAGAGGAGACGCTTCAGCTTCATCTAAGACAGAATCCAACTTCCAACCAGACCGGGGGAACATTTTCTAAGGATTGAGACAGCAGTGAAAGAAAAGCTCTGACCTTAACGATGCGGTCGCTTCCACAGGTGACCATCAGGCCTCTGGACGGGTCCATGTCCATGCGGGCGATGCTGTGTTTCCCCTCGTGGAAGGTGGCCAGCGGCGCCCGACTGCAGCACAGACACACAGCGACAGCTTTTTATCAGGATGCCCCGAGGGAAGCCTGGCAGTATTTTGAGAAGGCCGACACTAACTCTTCCTCTTTGATGGAGTCGAAGCAGGCGTCGCACACGCGCACCGGGAACTCGAAGCCCATGATTGGGAAGGTGGAGCGTTTGGAGCTGCATTTCCCGCACACCGCCTTCCCACACTTCCTGCAGTGGTGCTGCAAACAGAACACATGGATGCATGAGCAAGGCTCAAAAGGGGGACAACAACCCTCCCCCTCTGGGGACAGTACCTGTCTCAGTCCCAGGGTCTTAGTGTCCCACATCTGCTTGATGTTCCAGAAGAATGGCTGCTCACACTTCTGACAGGAGTCGCTGTCCAACCACTGCGGCGCCTGTGGAACAAGCAGGACTAGATGACCTGGCGCTGCATCATCAAACCATTCAAAGCTGCAGCAGGGATGCAGACCTCCTCTCTGCGGGCGTCCATGTTCCACACCGCGATGCCGCCGTCGGCCGAGCAGGACAGCAGCTGCCTGGTGAACTGGAGGAAACGCAGCGCCTGGACGCGCTCGCTGAGGGACACGGAGGAGAGCGGCGGTTAAAACTCATTCCTAATGACCCGCCCACCGCGGCTCCTGTTACCACCACAACCAACTCCGCCCCCGGAGGGAACCTTGGAGGAAAACAATCAGGAACCTTGATGGAGGAGTGCCCTTTAGTTCTGAGCAGCAGCGCTGACCCAGAATCAGCCGTCCTGGAGGGGGTGCTATGCTAGTCAGCTCATTAAAAACATCTATTTCTTTACAAGATCAACCTATGAAGAATTTACTGCCATCTAGTGGTTAAATGGCTGAATGCTTCTATTTACAGACGGTCCAGCTGACGGGAAAAACAAGGAAGTACAGATAAGGACCCGACAAAGTCAGCAGAGAAAAACATAAAGCAACAGACAGAAGAAGCTCAGATGATTCTGCTCAAGTCTGAACCGAGTCTGCAAATCCTCCACAGAACCTCTCTGGGAGCCCTGGGAGACCTGTGACTGGAGGAGACCTGTGACTGGAGGAGACCTGTGACTGGAAGAGACCTGTGACTGGAGGAGACCTGTGACTGGAGGAGACCTGTGACTGGAAGAGACCTGTGACTGGAAGAGACCTGTGACTGGAAGAGACCTGTGACTGGAGGAGACCTGTGACTGGAGGAGACCTGTGACTGGAAGAGACCTGTGACTGGAAGAGACCTGTGACTGGAAGAGACCTGTGACTGGAAGAGACCTGTGACTGGAGGAGACCTGGAGTTTCCTCTCATGTCCTTGAAGGATCTTCTGCACCAAAGCAGGTTGGACCCTGAGTCGCTCCTGAGGGCAGCAGAGGACTTACTGATGTCCCTGGAGAAGCAGAGTCCGTCCCTTCCGGCCCCCGATGTCCCACATGATGATGCTGTGGTCCGAGGCCCCTGAGAACAGCAGCCTTTGGACCGGGTCCCACCACAGGGCTCCTATGCTTCCTGCAATACCAGAAAGATCCAGTTAGAACTGGTTAAAGGAATAGTACACCCAAAACATGATTAGCCTTCATTTTCTACTCACCCCCATGCTGAACAACACTCTGGAGTACTTTTTTGATATCTCAAATGCATCTGGAGATCTGGGAGGCTTCTTGCTGTCTGCTGACATTCAAATAATGGAGGTCTATGGCGCCCGAGGCAGAAAGGTCCATAAAAGTCCACAAAAAACGTGTCAATATTCCTCCATACTGCTCGTCCAATGTATTCCAAGTGTCCTGAGTGGGTAGCGTCCATAATTTACTCGAAACGAAGTCATTTAGAATGTTTTTAGAGCATAAACAGTAGTGTATAGGATTTCCTGAAAGCGCGCGCATGCACGTTCACGACGCTACGGAAGCCGGCAGACCAAACCAGATGAAAGTGCGCATTCAGCGTCTGCTCTGCCGATAATGCAAGCGTAGAAGAAGAAATGTGCTGTTTACCTGTGCAAAGAAAGAAACAACGAAAGAAAAATGTCTGAGGACTTCAGTGTTGAGGAAGAGCATGAGTTCTTTGCCGAGCTGAATGCGCACTTTCATCTGGTTTGGTCTGCCGCGGTTTCCGTAGACTCGTGAACGCGCTTTCAGGAAATCCTATACACTACTGTTTATGCTCTAAAAACATTCTAAATGACTTCGTTTCGAGTAAATTCTGGACGCTACCCACTCAGGACACTTGGAGTACATTGGACGAGCAGTATGGAGGAATATTGACACGTTTTTTGTGGACTTTTATGGACCTTTCTGCCTCGGGCGCCATAGACGTCCATTATTTGAATGTCAGCAGACAACAAGAAGCCTCCCAGATCTCCAGATGCATTTGAGATATCAAAAAAGTACTCCAGAGTGTTGTTCAGCATGGGGGGGGAGTAGAAAATGAAGGCTAATCATGTTTTGGGTGTACTATTCCTTTAACAGAGAGAGAATCAGTCGAACTGGCTCCCCCCAGTGTTCACAGGGAGAACTGCACTCATCCAGCTAACAAAACCAAAAACCCCCTGAGGAAAAAATAGCACCTCTCCCTGAGCCCCTCCCTCTCCCTGGCCCCTCCCTCTAATAGGTCAAGTCAAAGGTTGAGCGTCTGATGGAGGCTGCAGTCGTTGATCTTACCTTCGTGGCCCTTCAGCGTGGTGACGGTGGAGTACGTCTGCTTCTCCAGTTTCAGCAGAGTGATCTGTCCAGAGTAATCTCCCACGAAGACGTGCTGCGTGTCGTGGTCGTATCTGAGTGAGGAGTCAGGGCCTGAACCAGTTCTAACCAGTTAACTGCTGCTGACACTCTGAATGGAAGGATACTGCAGGCAGGACGCCCAGGAGCTGAAGTAGTGTCGCCCCAGCATGCTGCCGCTCTGGGTGCACATCCAGCTGACGCTCTTGTCGTGTCCCGTGCTGACCAGCCACTCGCTGTCCAGGGAGAACGCCATGTCCGACACGCGGTTCTGGTGGGCTGCAGGAGAACCGTCAAACATTCTCATGGATGAATACATCAAGGCCGGATGGTTCTGACCCAGTTCTGCTGGGACCCAGTACCAAAGCCTAGCAGCAGAACTACAGATTAAAAACACCAAACATTCGATTCTTTGAGGGAGACCGGCTTCTGCTGGGACACCTATATCAGCGTCTCCATAGTTACACAAGAGATCAAAGGAAAGATTAATGCTTTAGATTTTAACTACTTTAGCGAGACCGAACCGATCCCAGCGTTCTCCTTAGAGGAACCGGGCCGATCCCCGCGATCTCCTTAGAGGAACCGAACCGATCCCCGCGCTCTCCTTAGAGGAACCGAACCGATCCCAGCGTTCTCCTTAGAGGAACCGGGCCGATCCCCGCGATCTCCTTAGAGGAACCGAACCGATCCCCGCGCTCTCCTTAGAGGAACCGAACCGATCCCCGCGCTCTCCTTAGAGGAACCGAACCGATCCCAGCGTTCTCCTTAGAGGAACCGAACCGATCCCCGCGCTCTCCTTAGAGGAACCGAACCGATCCCCGCGATCTCCTTAGAGGAACCGAACCGATCCCCGCGATCTCCTTAGAGGAACCGAACCGATCCCCGCGCTCTCCTTAGAGGAACCGAACCGATCCCCGCGCTCTCCTTTAGAGGAACCGGGATCCCATAAAGGACCTACAACACATAGAACCCGGGATCCCATAAAGGACCTACAACACATAGAACCCGGGATCCCATAAAGGACCTACAACACATAGAACCCGGGATCCCATAAAGGACCTACAACACATAGAACCCGGGATCCCATAAAGGACCTACAACACATAGAACCCGGGATCCCATAAAGGACCTACAACACATAGAACCCGGGATCCCATAAAGGACCTACAACACATAGAACCCGGGATCCCATAAAGGACCTACAACACATAGAACCCGGGATCCCATAAAGGACCTACAACACATAGAACCCGGGATCCCATAAAGGACCTACAACACATAGAACCCGGGATCCCATAAAGGACCTACAACACATAGAACCCGGGATCCCATAAAGGACCTACAACACATAGAACCCGGGATCCCATAAAGGACCTACAACACATAGAACCCGGGATCCCATAAAGGAGCTACAACACATAGAACCCCGGATCCCATAAAGGACCTACAACACATAGAACCCCGGATCCCATAAAGGACCTACAACACATAGAACCCGGGATCCCATAAAGGACCTACAACACATAGAACCCGGGATCCCATAAAGGACCTACAACACATAGAACCCGGGATCCCATAAAGGACCTACAACACATAGAACCCGGGATCCCATAAAGGACCTACAACACATAGAACCCGGGATCCCATAAAGGACCTACAACACATAGAACCCGGGATCCCATAAAGGACCTACAACACATAGAACCCGGGATCCCATAAAGGACCTACAACACATAGAACCCGGGATCCCATAAAGGACCTACAACACATAGAACCCCGGATCCCATAAAGGACCTAGAACACATAGAACCCGGGATCCCATAAAGGACCTAGAACACATAGAACCCGGGATCCAATAAAGGACCTAGAACACATAGAACCCGGGATCCAATAAAGGACCTAGAACACATAGAACCCGGGATCCCATAAAGGACCTACAACACATAGAACCCGGGATCCCATAAAGGACCTACAACACATAGAACCCGGGATCCCATAAAGGACCTACAACACATAGAACCCGGGATCCCATAAAGGACCTACAACACATAGAACCCGGGATCCCATAAAGGACCTACAACACATAGAACCCCGGATCCCATAAAGGACCTAGAACACATAGAACCCCGGATCCCATAAAGGACCTAGAACACATAGAACCCGGGATCCAATAAAGGACCTAGAACACATAGAACCCGGGATCCAATAAAGGACCTAGAACACATAGAACCCGGGATCCAATAAAGGACCTAGAACACATAGAACCCGGGATCCCATAAAGGACCTAGAACACATAGAACCCGGGATCCCATAAAGGACCTAGAACACATAGAACCCGGGATCCAATAAAGGACCTAGAACACATAGAACCCGGGATCCAATAAAGGACCTAGAACACATAGAAACCGGGATCCAATAAAGGACCTAGAACACATAGAACCCGGGATCCAATAAAGGACCTAGAACACATAGAACCCGGGATCCAATAAAGGACCTAGAACACATAGAACCCCGGATCCCATAAAGGACCTACAACACATAGAACCCCGGATCCCATAAAGGACCTAGAACACATAGAACCCGGGATCCCATAAAGGACCTAGAACACATAGAACCCCGGATCCCATAAAGGACCTAGAACACATAGAACCCCGGATCCCATAAAGGACCTAGAACACATAGAACCCGGGATCCCATAAAGGACCTAGAACACATAGAACCCCGGATCCCATAAAGGACCTAGAACACATAGAACCCCGGATCCCATAAAGGACCTAGAACACATAGAACCCCGGATCCCATAAGGGACCTACAACACATAGAACCCGGGATCCCATAAGGGACCTACAACACATAGAACCCGGGATCCCATAAAGGACCTACAACACATAGAACCCGGGATCCCATAAAGGACCTACAACACATAGAACCCGGGATCCCATAAAGGACCTACAACACATAGAACCCGGGATCCCATAAGGGACCTACAACACATAGAACCCCGGATCCCATAAAGGACCTAGAACACATAGAACCCGGGATCCCATAAAGGACCTAGAACACATAGAACCCCGGATCCCATAAAGGACCTAGAACACATAGAACCCCGGATCCCATAAAGGACCTACAACACATAGAACCCGGGATCCCATAAGGGACCTACAACACATAGAACCCGGGATCCCATAAAGGACCTAGAACACATAGAACCCGGGATCCCATAAAGGACCTACAACACATAGAACCCCGGATCCCATAAAGGACCTAGAACACATAGAACCCGGGATCCCATAAAGGACCTAGAACACATAGAACCCCGGATCCCATAAAGGACCTAGAACACATAGAACCCCGGATCCCATAAAGGACCTAGAACACATAGAACCCCGGATCCCATAAAGGACCTACAACACATAGAACCCGGGATCCCATAAAGGACCTAGAACACATAGAACCCGGGATCCCATAAAGGACCTACAACACATAGAACCCGGGATCCCATAAAGGACCTACAACACATAGAACCCCGGATCCCATAAAGGACCTAGAACACATAGAACCCGGGATCCCATAAAGGACCTAGAACACATAGAACCCCGGATCCCATAAAGGACCTAGAACACATAGAACCCGGGATCCCATAAAGGACCTAGAACACATAGAACCCGGGATCCCATAAAGGACCTAGAACACATAGAACCCCGGATCCCATAAAGGACCTAGAACACATAGAACCCGGGATCCCATAAAGGACCTAGAACACATAGAACCCGGGATCCCATAAAGGACCTACAACACATAGAACCCGGGATCCCATAAAGGACCTAGAACACATAGAACCCCGGATCCCATAAAGGACCTAGAACACATAGAACCCGGGATCCCATAAAGGACCTAGAACACATAGAACCCGGGATCCCATAAAGGACCTAGAACACATAGAACCCGGGATCCAATAAAGGACCTAGAACACATAGAACCCGGGATCCAATAAAGGACCTAGAACACATAGAACCCGGGATCCAATAAAGGACCTAGAACACATAGAACCCGGGATCCCATAAAGGACCTAGAACACATAGAACCCGGGATCCCATAAAGGACCTACAACACATAGAACCCGGGATCCCATAAAGGACCTAGAACACATAGAACCCGGGATCCAATAAAGGACCTACAACACATAGAACCCGGGATCCAATAAAGGACCTACAACACATAGAAACCAGGATCCCATAAAGGACCTAGAACACATAGAACCCCCGGATCCCATAAAGGACCTACAACACATAGAACCCGGGATCCCATAAAGGACCTAGAACACATAGAACCCGGGATCCAATAAAGGACCTACAACACATAGAACCCGGGATCCAATAAAGGACCTACAACACATAGAACCCCGGATCCCATAAAGGACCTACAACACATAGAACCCGGGATCCAATAAAGGACCTACAACACATAGAACCCCGGATCCCATAAAGGACCTACAACACATAGAACCCCGGATCCCATAAAGGACCTAGAACACATAGAACCCGGGATCCCATAAAGGACCTACAACACATAGAACCCGGGATCCCATAAAGGACCTAGAACACATAGAACCCCGGATCCCATAAAGGACCTAGAACACATAGAACCCGGGATCCCATAAAGGACCTAGAACACATAGAACCCGGGATCCAATAAAGGACCTAGAACACATAGAACCCGGGATCCAATAAAGGACCTAGAACACATAGAACCCGGGATCCAATAAAGGACCTAGAACACATAGAACCCGGGATCCAATAAAGGACCTAGAACACATAGAACCCGGGATCCCATAAAGGACCTAGAACACATAGAACCCGGGATCCCATAAAGGACCTACAACACATAGAACCCGGGATCCCATAAAGGACCTAGAACACATAGAACCCGGGATCCAATAAAGGACCTACAACACATAGAACCCGGGATCCAATAAAGGACCTACAACACATAGAAACCAGGATCCCATAAAGGACCTAGAACACATAGAACCCCGGATCCCATAAAGGACCTACAACACATAGAACCCGGGATCCCATAAAGGACCTAGAACACATAGAACCCGGGATCCAATAAAGGACCTACAACACATAGAACCCGGGATCCAATAAAGGACCTACAACACATAGAACCCCGGATCCCATAAAGGACCTACAACACATAGAACCCGGGATCCAATAAAGGACCTACAACACATAGAACCCGGGATCCAATAAAGGACCTACAACACATAGAACCCCGGATCCCATAAAGGACCTACAACACATAGAACCCGGGATCCCATAAAGGACCTAGAACACATAGAACCCGGGATCCAATAAAGGACCTACAACACATAGAAACCAGGATCCCATAAAGGACCTAGAACACATAGAACCCGGGATCCAATAAAGGACCTACAACACATAGAAACCAGGATCCCATAAAGGACCTAGAACACATAGAACCCCGGATCCCATAAAGGACCTACAACACATAGAACCCCGGATCCCATAAAGGACCTAGAACACATAGAACCCGGGATCCCATAAAGGACCTACAACACATAGAACCCGGGATCCCATAAAGGACCTAGAACACATAGAACCCGGGATCCCATAAAGGACCTAGAACACATAGAACCCGGGATCCCATAAAGGACCTACAACACATAGAACCCCGGATCCCATAAAGGACCTACAACACATAGAACCCGGGATCCCATAAAGGACCTACAACACATAGAACCCGGGATCCCATAAAGGACCTACAACACATAGAACCCGGGATCCCATAAAGGACCTAGAACACATAGAACCCGGGATCCAATAAAGGACCTACAACACATAGAAACCAGGATCCCATAAAGGACCTAGAACACATAGAACCCCGGATCCCATAAAGGACCTACAACACATAGAACCCCGGATCCCATAAAGGACCTAGAACACATAGAACCCGGGATCCCATAAAGGACCTACAACACATAGAACCCGGGATCCCATAAAGGACCTAGAACACATAGAACCCGGGATCCCATAAAGGACCTAGAACACATAGAACCCGGGATCCCATAAAGGACCTAGAACACATAGAACCCAGTCACTGCAGAGAAACTTCAGGGATGTCAGTGTGTTCTGAGGGGGGGGGGGGATTGATTATTTATTTTAGGTTTAGTTTAGATCTTAGGAAGGAGAAACGTTTCTGCAGCAGAGTCTCCCTGCGACCTGCTGCATCATCAGACCTTCTGACGTCTGCCTGTCCTCCAGGTCCAGCAGGACGTCCCCCACCTGTCCTCCAGGTCCAGCAGGACGTCCCCCACCTGTCCCCCAGGTCCAGCAGGACGTCCCCCACCTGTCCTCCAGGTCCAGCTGGAAGGCCCCCACCTGTCCCCCAGGTCCAGCAGGACGTCCCCCACCTGTCCTCCAGGTCCAGCTGGAAGGCCCCCACCTGTCCCCCAGGTCCAGCAGGACGTCCCCCACCTGTCCTCCAGGTCCAGCAGGACGTCCCCCACCTGTCCCCCAGGTCCAGCAGGACGTCCCCCACCTGTCCTCCAGGTCCAGCTGGAAGGCCCCCACCTGTCCCCCAGGTCCAGCAGGACGTCCCCCACCTGTCCCCCAGGTCCAGCAGGACGTCCCCCACCTGTCCTCCAGGTCCAGCAGGACGTCCCCCACCTGTCCTCCAGGTCCAGCAGGACGTCCCCCACCTGTCCTCACCTGGGTAGGTTTTAACGTGGTTCATCTTGTTGAAATCTTCAGAGATGAGAAACTCCTGCAGCGAGAATAAAACAACCAAATCAGACCGAACCAACCGACCCCCCCCCCAGCAGAGAAGGAGCTCACTCACCACCACCGCCCCGTTGTCCTGGCCTATGAAGATGCGCCTGCTGTCATGATGGTAGGACATGCTGGAACACGGCGCTTGGGGGCAGAAATGATGGCGGGTTAGCGTCCAATGCGGGGCCACTAGGGGTCACATGGCGGCCATACTTACAGGACACTGTGTGGAAGATGCTGGGCCAGTACTGACCGCTGTCCCTTTTCAGCCACACCCGGATGGTTCTGAAAGTATGGAAAAAGAACCAGTTTAACTGACGGCACCTGAAGGGGGCAGGGAACGTGATGCGTTCAGGTGCCGATTAACTAACTGCAGCCCTATAGACCAGAACTAGGAGGAACCAGTAGAGATCTGTAGAAAAATAGCTTAGAATAGAAAAGAACAGAAAATCCCTTTAATGACCCTCAATGGGGAAATTGTGGGGTTTTCAGGAGCAAAAACATTGTGGACCTTAGAAAAGTGTTTATTAAAAAACAGCATAAGTGAGTTAATAAAATAAACAAATAAAACACTGGTCTGTTTTTACAATATAAATATTGTGCGTCTGGAACCAATAAATAATAAACAGCTGAGAACATTTTCCCAGTAAAGATGCTGGCTAGCTGTGGAGGAAGGAGGAGACATTGTCCCCAGTTTGACCATCTGTGTTCCCCACAGGGACAGACAGGGGACAGGTTGGGAGGGCTGCTCCCACCCTCACCTGGTATCAACATGAGGACCAGTAAATAGACCGAGCCCACTAGCTGCGGCTAGCTGGAGCCTGCCGGGTTTACCTGTCCTCGCTGACCGTGATCACTCCGTCCTCCTTCGGTATCAAAACGGCCGCGTTGACGGTGTCCGAGTGTCCCTCGATCTTGTTGAGGAGGACCGGCCGAGCCGCCTGGGGCCTGGAGTGGATCTCTGCCGCCATGTTTCTCCCAGCGAGCACCAATGTTTTCCTCCAGCAGAGGAGGATCAGCTGACACCCAGAGCCGTTAGAGGATTACCGGAATGAACGCAAGGTGGCGCCAGCGGGAAATACCGAAATTATCGCGAGAACGACCCAGACGAGAACCCGCCAAATGCCGCAACTATCGCGAGAACGTCCCAAACGAGAACCCGAGAAACAGCTGAGGAGCAAACCTGTAGCAGATGTTTCTATCTGGCTGCTTCCTGGACAGAAATCTGACCTGCAGCTTCTTATGTTTTACTTCAGAATAAAGATCAAGGCTATTTGTGCATGTCCGTCTGATGACGTCACTAAGTGTTGATCTCTAAATGTGAGGATAAACTGTATGTGTGGAAAGCAGCAGAACAAGCAGAGGTGGATCATGCATCATATTTAGCCTTTTATGCTAATTTTAATTTGAACCTCACTGGTCATTTCAGGGAACATGATTCCTTCTATCAATTAATTAATCAATTGATTGATTACATTTAGCCTTTTATGCTAAGGCTATTTTTACTTTAAACTTTGATGGAACATGATTCCTTCTATCAGTTAATTGATTAATCAATTGATTGATTATATTTAGCCTTTTATGCTAAGGCTATTTTTACTTTAAACTTTGATGGAACATGATTCCTTCTATCAGTTAATTGATTAATCAATTGATTGATTATATTTAGCCTTTTATGCTAAGGCTATTTTTACTTTAAACTTTGATGGAACATGATTCCTTCTATCAGTTAATTAATTAATCAATTGATTGATTACATTTAGCCTTTTATGCTAAGGCTATTTTTACTTTAAACTTTGAGGGAACATGATTCCTTTTGCAGGAAGATCCGCTGCAGACAAACACATTTATGACAGAGTGAGACCTCTGTATCTACAACCTTTCTTGGTCTGTTTGTTCTCATCTTAAGGGACCAATCTAGATATGTACTTCTATATCTGCATGGCGATGGTGTTTACTCTACATTTATATAGTTTACAATGTTTAAAGGTCAACTGACCCCACAGCCCATGGAGGGGCCCATAGAGGGGCCATGGAGGGACCCATAAAGTGGTCCATGGAGGGGCCCATAGAGGGGCCATGGAGGGTCCCATAAAGTGGTCCATGGAGGGGCCCATAAAGTGGTCCATGGAGGGGCCCATAGAGGGGCCATGGAGGGACCCATAAAGTGGTCCATGGAGGGGCCCATAAAGTGGTCCATGGAGGGGCCCATAGAGGGGCCCATAAAGGGGTCCATGGAGGAGCCCATAGAGGGACCATGGAGGGACCCATAAAGTGGGCCATGGAGGGACCCATAAAGTGGTCCATGGAGGGGCCCATAAAGTGGGCCATGGAGGGACCCATAGAGGGTCCATGGAGGGACCCATAAAGTGGTCCATGGAGGGGCCCATAGAGGGGCCATGGAGGGGCCCATAAAGTGGTCCATGGAGGGGCCTATAAAGTGGTCCATGGAGGGGCCCATAGAGGGGCCCATGGAGGGGCCTATAAAGTGGTCCATGGAGGGGCCCATAGAGGGGCCCATAAAGGGGTCCATGGAGGAGCCTATAAAGTGGTCCATAGAGGGGCCCATAAAGGGGTCCATGGAGGAGCCCATAGAGGGACCATGGAGGGACCCATAAAGTGGTCCATGGAGGAGCCTATAAAGTGGGCCATGGAGGAGCCCATAGAGGGACCATGGAGGGACCCATAAAGTGGTCCATGGAGGGGCCTATAAAGTGGTCCATGGAGGAGCCCATAGAGGGACCATGGAGGGACCCATAAAGTGGTCCATGGAGGGGCCCATAGAGGGACCATGGAGGGACCCATAAAGTGGTCCATGGAGGGGCCTATAAAGTGGTCCATGGAGGAGCCCATAGAGGGACCATGGAGGGACCCATAAAGTGGTCCATGGAGGGGCCTTTAAAGTGGGCCATGGAGGGACCCATAAAGTGGGCCATGGAGGGGCCCATAAAGTGGGCCATGGAGGGGCCCATAGAGGGACCATGGAGGGACCCATAAAGTGGTCCATGGAGGGGCCTATAAAGTGGGCCATGGAGGAGCCCATAGAGGGACCATGGAGGGACCCATAAAGTGGTCCATGGAGGGGCCTATAAAGTGGTCCATGGAGGAGCCCATAGAGGGACCATGGAGGGACCCATAAAGTGGTCCATGGAGGGGCCTTTAAAGTGGGCCATGGAGGGACCCATAAAGTGGGCCATGGAGGGGCCCATAAAGTGGGCCATGGAGGGGCCCATAAAGTGGGCCATGGAGGGGCCCATAAAGTGGGCAATGGAGGGACCCATAGAGGGGCCATGGAGGGACCCATAAAGTGGTCCATGGAGGGACCCATAAAGTGGTCCATAGAGGGGCCCATAAAGGGGTCCATAGAGGGGCCATGGAGGGACCCATAAAGTGGGCCATGGAGGAACCCATAAAGTGGTCCATAGAGGGGCCAATAAAGGGGTCCATGGAGGAGCCCATAGAGGGGTCAATGAAGGGGCCCATAAAGGGGTCCATGGAGGAGCCCATAGAGGGACCATGGAGGGACCCATAAAGTGGTCCATGGAGGGGCCCATAAAGTGGGCCATGGAGGGGCCCATAAAGTGGGCCATGGAGGGGCCCATAGAGGGGCCATGGAGGAGCCATGGAGGAGCCCATAGAGGGGCCATGGAGGGACCCATAGAGGGGCCATGGAGGGACCCATAAAGTGGGCCATGGAGGGGCCCATAAAGGGGTCCATGGAGGAGCCTATAAAGTGGTCCATAGAGGGGCCCATAAAGGGGTCCATGGAGGAGCCCATAGAGGGACCATGGAGGGACCCATAAAGTGGTCCATGGAGGAGCCTATAAAGTGGGCCATGGAGGAGCCCATGGAGGGACCCATAAAGTGGTCCATGGAGGGGCCTATAAAGTGGTCCATGGAGGAGCCCATAGAGGGACCATGGAGGGACCCATAAAGTGGTCCATGGAGGGGCCTTTAAAGTGGGCCATGGAGGGACCCATAAAGTGGGCCATGGAGGGGCCCATAAAGTGGGCCATGGAGGGGCCCATAAAGTGGTCCATGGAGGGGCCCATAAAGTGGGCAATGGAGGGACCCATAGAGGGGCCATGGAGGGACCCATAAAGTGGTCCATGGAGGGACCCATAAAGTGGTCCATGGAGGGGCCCATAAAGTGGGCCATGGAGGGGCCCATAAAGTGGGCCATGGAGGGGCCCATAGAGGGGCCATGGAGGAGCCCATAGAGGGGCCATGGAGGGACCCATAGAGGGGCCATGGAGGGACCCATAGAGGGGCCATGGAGGGACCCATAAAGTGGGCCATGGAGGGGCCCATAAAGTGGGCCATGGAGGGGCCCATAAAGTGGTCCATGGAGGGGCCCATAAAGTGGGCAATGGAGGGACCCATAGAGGGGCCATGGAGGGACCCATAAAGTGGTCCATGGAGGGACCCATAAAGTGGTCCATAGAGGGGCCCATAAAGGGGTCCATAGAGGGGCCATGGAGGGACCCATAAAGTGGGCCATGGAGGGACCCATAAAGTGGTCCATAGAGGGGCCAATAAAGGGGTCCATGGAGGAGCCCATAGAGGGGTCAATGAAGGGGCCAATAGAGGGGTCCATGGAGGGGCCAATAGAGGGGTCAATGGAGGGGCCAATGGAGGGGCCATGGAGGGACCCATAAAGTGGTCCATGGAGGGGCCCATAGAGGGGTCAATGAAGGGGCCAATAGAGGGGTCCATGGAGGGGCCAATAGAGGGGTCAATGGAGGGGCCATGGAGGGACCCATAAAGTGGTCCATGGAGGGGCCCATAGAGGGGTCAATGAAGGGGCCAATAGAGGGGTCCATGGAGGGGCCAATAGAGGGGTCAATGGAGGGGCCATGGAGGGACCCATAAAGTGGTCCATGGAGGGGCCCATAGAGGGGTCAATGAAGGGGCCAATAGAGGGGTCCATGGAGGGGCCAATAGAGGGGTCAATGGAGGGGCCATGGAGGGGCCCATTAAGTGGTCCATAGAGGGGCCTATATTGGGGGGCCCAGCCTCGAGCAAATTTCATTTATCTTTTCCTCTTAAAGCACCAGTTCCAGGAATGGTGTCCCTGATCTGCTGTCCTGTGTCTCATCTTCAGAGGATCGCAGCCATGCAGGCTGGCCCTCAGCATGATGCTGCCATCTCAGCGCTTCACTCTAAAAACTGTTCAGGATGAAAAGCAGATTTCCTCAGTTTTACTCTCCTTAGGAGTATATCACACACCAGTGACCTCATTAAGACCTTAAACTCAGTGGGTTAGAGGCGTTAAACCTGATGGCGGTCCGGTTCCAGGGGTGTGAATACTTCCACTCAGAGCCGCAGGTTGACCGACTTTCAGCTGATAATGGATGCTGCAGATTCTGGGATTTGTTGGTGGATTTAAGCCAATACTAAAATCAAATTTATTTTTATGCCCTTTACTCTAAAAAGGTTTAGACAACAATGTTGATGTTATAAACCGACGTCTTTAATTCTGTTTCCACATGTGAAGCAAACGAGGAATTTCTCAGTAAAGAGAAAACAAAAATTCATAGCAGCCAAGAAAACATCTTAAAGTTTGGAACTGAGGAGGGAAACAGACAGACTGGAGTTAAACCAAAGCAGAGAGCAGATAAATAAAGGCATCCTCATTCTCCAGGGTTAAGACATTGGGACATTTAAAGTCTTTTAAAAAAACCTACATCCAAAAATTAAAACATGTTGAAAGCATGTGATGCGCTGCAGAAAACCAACATAAAAAGCCACATTTAAAACAAAGATTTGTTCACGTAGGTCAGAGGTGGGCCGACGGCGTCTCTCTGCGCCTCGTGCACGGCAGTCTGGGAGCTTTTCTCCAGCTGGACCAGCTTCCAGGTCCGTCTGCTTGCTGGACGGGGGCCTCATGGTTGGTTGATCTGGCCCATGAACAGGACGGCGCCTGGAAACAGAAACCATGAGGTCATCGCTTCACTGCTGGAGTCCCGCCTCATGCAGCCGAAGCTGATCTTACCTGTTGGGTTGTGTCTTATGAGGAACAGGAAGGGTCTGTCCACCGTGACCCAGGGGGGGGAGGACCGAGCCATCAGGATGGCAGCTAAACAACACAGCAGGTTAGAGCGAGAGGGCGGGGTCAGACGGCGCCATCTTTAATCCAGAACCATACTTACTGGTGGCTGCTGCTGCCATGGTTCCCTCTTCATTCACCACCACTTTGGATTTCTGCAGAGCCTTGGACACAAAGAGCGGCTCGCTGCCTGAGGGAACAGCAGCAGAAAGGACTTCCTGTCAGCCAGCGATTGGACGATCTACCTTCAAACTAAGACATGACTGTTTTACGTCACATGGTGGCAGTAGAGCTCTGAGGCGGCTGCAGCGTCCTCCTCAGGCTTTAACATCCTAAACAAACCTCCTGCAGCCGCGTTCGCTCTGCGTGTGATGATGCTTTCACTCACTGAGGTGCATGAAGTCGGCTGCATCCTGACTGAACGCTTCTGTGATTCCCAGCGCCATCAGCGGACCCTTCAGGTCCACCTCTGCATCTGCAGAGAACCTGCAAACAGAGCCAGAACCTCTAGTTAGCCTTCCTGTCTCTCCAAGCCGCGGCCCGAGGCGTGCATCTCTGTTCAGACTGACTTGGGGAGGAGCAGGCGGACTTTCCTCATGTGCATGAGCTTGGTCCAGCTCTGAATGGTGGCCGTGCTGATGTGTGGAATGACACTGGACAGAGACACGTCCTCGTCAGCAGGGACAACAATCAGCATGCTGATGGAGTTTCCGTGGTACGGCAGCTCGATCACCCGGTACCTGAGCCCCTGTGGCGTGCTGGCCATGCCTGGCAGGAAAACGGGTCAGAAGACATTTAACAGACGGTTTAATGGAATAACGAAGCAGAGAACATCTCTACAACCATCACTTTACAGACAGAAGGTCTGAGGAATCGCCTGAGGAGCAGCAACCTGGAGAGACATCTGCTGTCCTTCCCTGCGCTCCATGGAGCGCCCAGAAAAACATTCAGAAGAAATGAACAAGCATCGATTTCCAAAGAAAAAAAACAAAAACAGCAGGACTAGATAAAGAGCAGGAGGACAGGAGGACACATTTCTGCTCCTGGAGGAGGTAGAACATGCTGGACCAACCAGACGCCAGGACCGAGTCTGAGGCGCTGATCTTCAACAGGTTGGAGTTTTCAAAGCTTCACAGCAGGTCCTTATGTTGGGCCCTGACAGGCCTGGAGCCGTCAGGGCCCAGGTAGTGTGATTCTGCAACGCGCCGACTGTGACCCGCCCCCCTGCTCCATAACAGCTTTAAATATAGCTGCTGCATCATTCACAGCAGGATGAAAACATCCTGTCGACAGACGTGTGACTCTTTAGGACTCGGACCAGCAAAGAGGCCGAATCAGAAACCGTTAGGAGCCAAAATTTGGCTGTAATGTCCAGTGTTACCAAAAATAAAAACTATTTTAAAAAAGCTGTTTAACTGAGAGGCGAGAAAAACACAATGAATCCAGGATGAGTTCAAAGACTGAGATCTTTTACAGCAGAATTCCTCAGTTCTGGTCCTGAAGGACCTGGAGAACCTGGAGGTCCTGAAGGACCTGGAGGTCCTGAAGGACCTGGAGAACCTGGAGGTCCTGAAGGACCTGGAGAACCTGGAGGTCCCGAAGGGCCTGGAGAACCTGGAGGTCCCGAAGGGCCTGGAGAACCTGGAGGTCCCGAAGGGCCTGGAGAACCTGGAGGTCCTGAAGGGCCTGGAGAACCTGGAGGTCCTGAAGGGCCTGGAGAACCTGGAGGTCCCGAAGGGCCTGGAGAACCTGGAGGTCCTGAAGGGCCTGGAGAACCTGGAGGTCCTGAAGCACCTGGAGAACCTGGAGGTCCTGAAGCACCTGGAGAACCTGGAGGTCCTGAAGCACCTGGAGAACCTGGAGGGCCAGTGTCTTACATACATGTCTCTGCTTCTGCATCCAATGACCTCCTCAGTCTGCTGTCAGGTTCTCCAGAGTCCTCCTTAGTATCCAAGTACTCAGGTGTGTTGAAGCAGAGGCGCGTCTAAAAGGTGCAGGTTACTGGACCACCAGGACCTTCAGGACCACCAGGACCTTCAGGACCACCAGGACCAGAAGCCTGTTTCACAGCAAACACTTTGGACGGATAAAGCATCTGTCTCAGAACAGGTCCCAGTGAAGTCTGCCTGCTTGTGAGCACGCTCAGACAGAACAGGACTCACCCAGGTTAAAGATGGACAGCTGGGACATCATTGGGACTTTGGACACGTCTCCGTCTCCAGCCGTGAACGGCCTCATCTTGGTGTTATTGGGCTCAAAGCAGGACTTCCATAAACCCTTGAAGTAGATGGAGTTGAGCACTACCAGACGGGTCAGCGGCGAGTCCAGCATGTCTGCTTTCATCAAGCTGGTGATGTGACCTGCAGAAATAAACAGACTAGAGGGAAGCTGGAAGAAAAGCACACAGAAAGGAAGTAAAACTGCAGACTCATGCCTCAGAACACTCAGCAGAACCACCGCATCATGAATAACGGAGCAGATACCTGAACAGGAAGCATCTGAGGAAGCGGGGCTACGCAGCACAGCATCATGACAGAAACTCAACTTCAGAACGATGTGGGAGGAGCCAAGATTAGCTCCTTGTTCAACGGGAAAAAAAGGTTGAAGCAACTGCACTCCATGTTTTATACGAATGAATTCTCTTCAGTATAAAGTGACCCCCTTCTCAGAAAGTATTCACACGCTGCACCTCCCTCTCTGAAGTAAGTCTTCACACCCATCGTAGGAATTTATTTTCTGTGAAGATTGACATCCTTCATCATGATCGGGTTTATGTTAACAAGGCATCTGCCCACTTCCTGTCCTTGTGCTTAAAGGGCCCTAATTTTATTATGGTGACTCACAGCACTAGTTCTTCTACACTAAGGTGACCTTCACACGGCAGGTCTAGCTGCTCAGTCTGACATTTTATTGGGCTGTTAAACAATAATATGACCACATCACAGGATGAAGAAAAACTGGATGAAGCCGTGACTGTAAAGTCTGAGGCCCTGGAGTAACGCCCGCATGCCATGGTGTAACACTAATGTCGTATTGCAACGACCTAAAGCCATGGTGTAACATCCTATCCTCGCATTGGAATGACCTGAGGACATGGTGTAACATCCTAAAGTCGTATTGTAACAGCCTGAGGCCTTGGTGTAACACCCCAACATCGTATTGTAACAGCCTGAGGCCATGGTTCAACACCCCAACGTCGTATTGTAACAGCCTGAGGCCATGGTGTAACACCTCAATATCGTATTGTAACAGCCTGAGGCCATGGTGCAACACCCTGACGTCGTATTGTAACAGCCTGAGGCCATGGTGTAACACCTCAATGTCGTATTGTAACAGCCTGAGGCCATGGTGCAACACCCTGACGTCGTATTGTAACAGCCTGAGGCCTTGGTGTAACACCCTGACGTCGTATTGCAACGACCTAAAGCCATGGTGTAACATCCTATCCTCGCATTGGAATGACCTGAGGACATGGTGTAACATCCTAAGGTCGTATTGTAACAGCCTGAGGCCTTGGTGTAACACCCCGACGTCGTATGGTAACAGCCTGAGGCAATGGTTCAACACCCCAACGTCGTATTGTAACAGCCTGAGGCCATGGTGTAACACCCCGACGTCGTATTGTAACAGCCTGAGGCCATGGTGTAACACCCCGACGTTGTATTGTAACAGCCTGAGGCCTTGGTGTAACACCTCAACGTCGTATTGTAACAGCCTGAGGCCTTGGTGTAACACCTCAACGTCGTATTGTAACAGCCTGAGGCCTTGGTGTAACACCCCAATGTCATATTGTAACAGCCCGAGGCCTTGGTGTAACACCTCAACGTAGTATTGTAACAGCCCGAGGCCTTGGTGTAACACCTCAATGTCGTATTGTAACAGCCTGAGGCCATGGTGCAACACCCTGACGTCGTATTGTAACAGCCTGAGGCCTTGGTGTAACACCCCGACGTCGTATTGTAACAGCCTGAGGCCATGGTGTAACACCCCAACGTCGTATTATAACAGCCCGAGGCCTTGGTGTAACACCCCAATGTCGTATTGTAACAGCCTGAGGCCATGGTGCAACACCCTCACGTCGTATTGTAACAGCCTGAGGCCTTGGTGTAACACCCCGACATTGTATTGTAACAGCCTGAGGCCATGGTGTAACATACTATGGTCATATTGTAACAGCCTGAGGCCATGGTGTAACACCTCAACGTCGCATTGTAACAGCCTGAGGCCATGGTGTAACACCCTGACATCTTATTGTAACAGCCTGAGGCCATGGTGCAACACCCTGACATCGTATTGTAACAGCCTGAGGCCTTGGTGTAACACCCCGACATCGTATTGTAACAGCCTGAGTCGATGGTGTAACATACTAAGGTCATATTGTAACAGCCCGAGGCCTATGTGTAACACCTCAACGTCGTATTGTAACAGCCTGAGGCCTTGATGTAACACCTCAATGTCGTATTGTAACAGCCCGAGGCCTTGGTGTAACACCTCAATGTCGTATTGTAACAGTCTGAGGCCGTGGTGTAGCATCCTATGGTCGTATTGTAACAGTCTGAGGCCGTGGTGTAACATACTAAGGTCGTATTGTAACTGTCTGAAGCCATTGTGTAGCATCCTATGGTCGTATTGTAACAGTCTGAGGCCGTGGTGTAACATCCTATGGTCGTATTGTAACAGTCTGAGGCCATAGTGTAACATACTAAGGTCGTATTGTAACAGCCTGAAGCCATTGTGTAACATCCTATGGTCGTATTGTAACAGTCTGAGGCCATGGTGTAACATACTATGGTCGTATTGTAACAGTCTGAGGCCATTGTGTAACATCCTATGGTCGTATTGTAACAGTCTGAGGCCGTTGTGTAACATCCTATGGTTGTATTGTAACAGTCTGAGGCCGTGGTGTAACATCCTATGGTCGTATTGTAACAGTCTGAGGCCGTGGTGTAACATCCTATGGTCGTATTGTAACAGTCTGAGGCCGTGGTGTAACATCCTATGGTCGTATTGTAACAGTCTGAGGCCGTGGTGTAACATACTAAGGTCGTATTGTAACAGTCTGAGGCCATGGTGTAACATACTAAGGTCGTATTGTAACAGTCTGAGGCCATTGTGTAACATCCTATGGTCGTATTGAAACAGTCTGAGGCCATGGTGTTACATACTAAGGTCGTATTGTAACAGTCTGAGGCCGTGGTGTAACATCCTACGGTCGTATTGTAACAGTCTGAGGCTGTGGTGTAACACCCTGACATCTTATTGTAACAGCCTGAGGCCATGGTGCAACACCCTGACGTCGTATTGTAACAGCCTGAGGCCATGGTGTAACACCTCAATGTCGTATTGTAACAGCCTGAGGCCATGGTGCAACACCCTGACGTCGTATTGTAACAGCCTGAGGCCTTGGTGTAACACCCTGACGTCGTATTGCAACGACCTAAAGCCATGGTGTAACATCCTATCCTCGCATTGGAATGACCTGAGGACATGGTGTAACATCCTAAGGTCGTATTGTAACAGCCTGAGGCCTTGGTGTAACACCCCGACGTCGTATGGTAACAGCCTGAGGCAATGGTTCAACACCCCAATGTCGTATTGTAACAGCCTGAGGCCATGGTGTAACACCCCGACGTCGTATTGTAACAGCCTGAGGCCATGGTGTAACACCCCGACGTTGTATTGTAACAGCCTGAGGCCTTGGTGTAACACCTCAACGTCGTATTGTAACAGCCTGAGGCCTTGGTGTAACACCTCAACGTCGTATTGTAACAGCCTGAGGCCTTGGTGTAACACCCCAATGTAGCATTGTAACAGCCAGAGGCCTTGGTGTAACACCCCAATGTCATATTGTAACAGCCCGAGGCCTTGGTGTAACACCTCAACGTAGTATTGTAACAGCCCGAGGCCTTGGTGTAACACCTCAATGTCGTATTGTAACAGCCTGAGGCCATGGTGCAACACCCTGACGTCGTATTGTAACAGCCTGAGGCCTTGGTGTAACACCCCGACGTCGTATTGTAACAGCCTGAGGCCATGGTGTAACACCCCAACGTCGTATTATAACAGCCCGAGGCCTTGGTGTAACACCCCAATGTCGTATTGTAACAGCCTGAGGCCATGGTGCAACACCCTCACGTCGTATTGTAACAGCCTGAGGCCTTGGTGTAACACCCCGACATTGTATTGTAACAGCCTGAGGCCATGGTGTAACATACTATGGTCATATTGTAACAGCCTGAGGCCATGGTGTAACACCTCAACGTCGCATTGTAACAGCCTGAGGCCATGGTGTAACACCCTGACATCTTATTGTAACAGCCTGAGGCCATGGTGCAACACCCTGACATCGTATTGTAACAGCCTGAGGCCTTGGTGTAACACCCCGACATCGTATTGTAACAGCCTGAGTCGATGGTGTAACATACTAAGGTCATATTGTAACAGCCCGAGGCCTATGTGTAACACCTCAACGTCGTATTGTAACAGCCTGAGGCCTTGATGTAACACCTCAATGTCGTATTGTAACAGCCCGAGGCCTTGGTGTAACACCTCAATGTCGTATTGTAACAGTCTGAGGCCGTGGTGTAGCATCCTATGGTCGTATTGTAACAGTCTGAGGCCGTGGTGTAACATACTAAGGTCGTATTGTAACAGTCTGAAGCCATTGTGTAGCATCCTATGGTCGTATTGTAACAGTCTGAGGCCGTGGTGTAACATCCTATGGTCGTATTGTAACAGTCTGAGGCCATAGTGTAACATACTAAGGTCGTATTGTAACAGCCTGAAGCCATTGTGTAACATCCTATGGTCGTATTGTAACAGTCTGAGGCCATGGTGTAACATACTATGGTCGTATTGTAACAGTCTGAGGCCATTGTGTAACATCCTATGGTCGTATTGTAACAGTCTGAGGCCGTTGTGTAACATCCTATGGTCGTATTGTAACAGTCTGAGGCCGTGGTGTAACATCCTATGGTCGTATTGTAACAGTCTGAGGCCGTGGTGTAACATCCTATGGTCGTATTGTAAAAGTCTGAGGCCGTGGTGTAACATCCTATGGTCGTATTGTAACAGTCTGAGGCCGTGGTGTAACATACTAAGGTCGTATTGTAACAGTCTGAGGCCATTGTGTAACATCCTATGGTCGTATTGAAACAGTCTGAGGCCGTGGTGTAACATCCTATGGTCGTATTGAAACAGTCTGAGGCCATGGTGTAACATACTAAGGTCGTATTGTAACAGTCTGAGGCCATTGTGTAACATCCTATGGTCGTATTGAAACAGTCTGAGGCCATGGTGTTACATACTAAGGTCGTATTGTAACAGTCTGAGGCCGTGGTGTAACATCCTACGGTCGTATTGTAACAGTCTGAGGCTGTGGTGTAACACCCTGACATCTTATTGTAAGAGCCTGAGGCCATGGTGCAACACCCTGACGTCGTATTGTAACAGCCTGAGGCCTTGGTGTAACACCCCGACATCGTATTGTAACAGCCTGAGTCGATGGTGTAACATACTATGGTCATATTGTAACAGCCCGAGGCCTATGTTTAACAACTCAACGTCGTATTGTAACAGTCTGAGGCCATGGTGTAACATCCTATGGTCGTATTGTAACAGTCTGAGGCCGTGGTGTAACATCCTATGGTCGTATTGTAACAGTCTGAGGCCATGGTGTAACATACTAAGGTCGTATTGTAACAGTCTGAGGCCATGGTGTAACATACTAAGGTCGTATTGTAACAGTCTAAGGCCGTGGTGTAACATCCTACGGTCGTATTGTAACAGTCTGAGGCTGTGGTGTAACACCCTGACATCTTATTGTAACAGCCTGAGGCCATGGTGCAACACCCGGACGTTGTATTGAAACAGCCTGAGGCCTTGGTGTAACACCCCGACATTGTATTGTAACAGCCTGAGGCCATGGTGTAACACCTCAATGTCGTATTGTAACAGTCTGAGGCCGTGGTGTAACATCCTATGGTCGTATTGTAACAGTCTGAGGCCATGGTGTAACATACTATGGTCATATTGTAACAGCCTGAGGCCATGGTGTAACACCTCAACGTCGCATTGTAACAGCCTGAGGCCATGGTGTAACACCCTGACATCTTATTGTAACAGCCTGAGGCCTTGGTGTAACACCCTGACGTCGTATTGTAACAGCCTGAGTCGATGGTGTAACATACTAAGGTCATATTGTAACAGCCCGAGGCCTATGTGTAACACCTCAACGTCGTATTGTAACAGCCTGAGGCCTTGATGTAACACCTCAATGTCGTATTGTAACAGCCCGAGGCCTTGGTGTAACACCTCAATGTCGTATTGTAACAGTCTGAGGCCGTGGTGTAACATCCTATGGTCGTATTGTAACAGTCTGAGGCTGTGGTGTAACATACTAAGGTCGTATTGTAACAGCCTGAGGCCATTGTGTAACATCTTATGGTCGTATTGTAACAGTCTGAGGCCTTGATGTAACACCTCAATGTCGTATTGTAACAGCCCGAGGCCTTGGTGTAACACCTCAATGTCGTATTGTAACAGCCTGAGGCCATGGTGTAACACCTCAACGTCGCATTGTAACAGCCTGAGGCCATGGTGTAACACCCTGACATCTTATTGTAACAGCCTGAGGCCTTGGTGTAACACCCTGACGTCGTATTGTAACAGCCTGAGTCGATGGTGTAACATACTAAGGTCATATTGTAACAGCCCGAGGCCTATGTGTAACACCTCAACGTCGTATTGTAACAGCCTGAGGCCTTGATGTAACACCTCAATGTCGTATTGTAACAGCCCGAGGCCTTGGTGTAACACCTCAATGTCGTATTGTAACAGTCTGAGGCCGTGGTGTAACATCCTATGGTCGTATTGTAACAGTCTGAGGCTGTGGTGTAACATACTAAGGTCGTATTGTAACAGCCTGAGGCCATTGTGTAACATCTTATGGTCGTATTGTAACAGTCTGAGGCCTTGATGTAACACCTCAATGTCGTATTGTAACAGCCCGAGGCCTTGGTGTAACACCTCAATGTCGTATTGTAACAGTCTGAGGCCGTGGTGTAACACCTCAATGTCGTATTGTAACAGCCCGAGGCCTTGGTGTAACACCTCAATGTCGTATTGTAACAGTCTGAGGCCGTGGTGTAACATCCTATGGTCGTATTGTAACAGTCTGAGGCCGTGGTGTAACATACTAAGGTCGTATTGTAACAGCCTGAGGCCATTGTGTAACATCCTATGGTCGTATTGTAACAGTCTGAGGCCGTGGTGTAACATACTAAGGTCGTATTGTAACAGCCTGAGGCCATTGTGTAACATCTTATGGTCGTATTGTAACAGTCTGAGGCCGTGGTGTAACATATTAAGGTCGTATTGTAACAGTCTGAAGCCATGGTGTAACATACTACGGTCGTATTGTAACAGTCTGAGGCCATTGTGTAACATCTTATGGTCGTATTGTAACAGTCTGAGGCCGTGGTGTAACATATTAAGGTCGTATTGTAACAGTCTGAAGCCATGGTGTAACATATTACGGTCGTATTGTAACAGCCTGAGGCCATTGTGTAACATCTTATGGTCGTATTGTAACAGTCTGAGGCCGTGGTGTAACATATTAAGGTCGTATTGTAACAGTCTGAAGCCATGGTGTAACATACTACGGTCGTATTGTAACAGTCTGAGGCCATTGTGTAACATACTAAGGTCGTATTGTAACAGTCTGAGGCCATGGTGTAACATCCTTACCATGTGGCATAGTGAGCCCAGACCTCACATAGTTCAGGCCCAAGCCATGGGTGGAAATCACACCAGAAATATTCTGGTGCTTCAAAGCGGCCAAATCTGGACTTTGACGAACCAAAGACAAAGTTCCCACAGGCGTGAACAAACTGAGCACTATCCATACCTTTGGTCTTATTGCTGATCCAAGCATTGATGTTGTCCGCCGCTGCGCTGGGGCTGCTGAAGTCTAGGCTCCTACTCTCACACTGAAAGTTGGCTTTATTGGTGGCCACAAAGGTCTGGTCCATTGGGAAACCCTTCTGGCTAAACATGGCATTGGCAATCAGCACAAGATCTTGGTTGGACTTGGTAGTCAGGTTTTTGTGCAGCTTCCTCAGCATCTTATAAGGTCCTGTGCAGAACACAATCTTTAATTAATGTTGAAAGCACTAATATCAGATCATTAAGGTACATCTGCCAGCATCCTCATTACCGTTTCTCTTGTAACGCAGAGAGCTAACGATCTGCTTCCTGGTTTCCCCATGGGCTCCAGGTAGCAGCATGCCCAAGATGGAAGCCACGCCATGGGGTGAGAGCACCACATTTTCCAGAGGCTTGGAACGGACCATCTGCTGAAACACCTGTATCCCCAGATCAGAGCCCCGCTCGCCATATGTGGGAGCTGCTGACAGCACTACCTTACAGGCACAGAGGGCCCCCAGCGCATACAGACCGAGTAAGATTTGTTTCATTTTGGTACCTGTAGAACCTAGAAAGAGAGAAATGATGAACATTGGATGAGCTTCTTCGCTCCTCCTTAGAAAACACACCTGTAAGGAAACATGAATCTACCACAGCCCTCAGAGTCGCATCCATGACCACTCAGAACCTTAAAAGTCCTACCCTAAACAGACTGACCATGACACAGCATTTCCTCCCCAATACCGACGAGGTTTAAGCATCAACCATCATTTTAGTTCCTAATATTGTTGAATGTTATAAAAGTCTTGTTCCAAACACAGAATGAACCACTGGGTCATGGAAACTGCCTGAAGCATTGCTTCTATCAGCTAGCTGATATCAGAGGTTTTACATATAGCCCAATAAGCTCCAATATTACGATTAATATTCTCATCAGATTAGGAAAGCAGATTGTCGAGTACCAGATGATCCCACAAGCCGTGCTGTCGTGGGTTTATTTGCCTCAGTAGGGTCTGCAGGGCATACATGCGGGTCAGATAAAGAGCCGTTCAAAATCTTTTTGATGACTTAAAAAGGCCAAATAATATCATTCAAAGGTAGAACCAGGAACCCCCCACCCCCTGTTCACGTCCACTAACTAGCCCGTTCACGTCCACTACCTAGCCCGTTCACGTCCATTAGCTAGCCTGTTTAGATCAACTAGCTAGCCTGTTCACATCCATTAGCTAGCCTGTTTAGATCCACTAGCTAGCCGGTTCACGTCCACTACCTAGCCCATTCACGTCCAATAGCTAGCCTGTTTAGATCCACTAGCTAGCCCGTTCACGTCCAATAGCTAGCCTGTTTAGATCCACTAGCTAGCCCGTTCACGTCCAATACCTAGCCTGTTTAGATCCACTAGCTAGCCCATTCACGTCCAATAGCTAGCCTGTTTAGATCCACTAGCTAGCCCGTTCACGTCCACTACCTAGCCCATTCACGTCCACTAGCTAGCCCATTCACGTCCACTAGCTAGCCCATTCACGTCCACTAGCTAGCCTGTTTAGATCCACTAGCTAGCCTGGTCACATCCATTAGCTAGCCTGTTTAGATCCACTAGCTAGCCCGTTCACGTCCACTAGCTAGCCTGTTTAGATCCACTAGCTAGCCCGTTCACGTCCACTAGCTAGCCCGTTCACGTCCACTAGCTAGCCCGTTCACGTCCACTAGCTAGCCCATTCACGTCCACTAGCTAGCCCGTTCACGTCCACTACCTAGCCCATTCGAGTCCACTAGCTAGCCTGTTTAGATCCACTAGCTAGACTGTTCACATCCATTAGCTAGACTGTTTAGATCCACTAGCTAGCCCGTTCACGTCCACTAGCTAGCCTGTTCACGTCCACTAGCTAGCCCGTTCACGTCCACTAGCTAGCCCGTTCACGTCCACTAGCTAGCCTGTTCACGTCCACTAGCTAGCCTGTTTAGATCCACTAGCTAGCCCGTTCACGTCCACTAGCTAGCCTGTTTAGATCCACTAGCTAGCCCGTTCACGTCCACTACCTAGCCCATTCACGTCCACTACCTAGCCCGTTCACGTCCACTAGCTAGCCCGTTCACGTCCACTAGCTAGCCTGTTTAGATCCAATAGCTAGCCTGTTTAGATCCAATAGCTAGCCTGTTTAGATCCAATAGCTAACCTGTTCACATCCAATAGCTAGCCTGTTTAGATCCACTAGCTAGCCTGTTCACATCCACTAGCTAGCCTGTTCACATCCACTAGCTAGCCTGTTTAGATTCACTAGCTAGCCTGTTTAGATCCACTAGCTAGCCCGTTCACGTCCACTACCTAGCCCATTCACGTCCACTACCTAGCCCGTTCACGTCCACTAGCTAGCCCGTTCACGTCCACTAGCTAGCCTGTTTAGATCCAATAGCTAGCCTGTTTAGATCCAATAGCTAGCCTGTTTAGATCCAATAGCTAACCTGTTCACATCCAATAGCTAGCCTGTTTAGATCCACTAGCTAGCCTGTTCACATCCACTAGCTAGCCTGTTCACATCCACTAGCTAGCCTGTTTAGATTCACTAGCTAGCCTGTTTAGATCCACTAGCTAGCCTGTTCACATCCACTAGCTAGCCTGTTCACATCCACTAGCTAGCCTGTTCACATCCACTAGCTAGCCTGTTCACGTCCAATAGCTAGCCTGTTTAGATCCACTAGCTAGCCTGTTCACGTCCACTACCTAGCCCATTCACGTCCACTAGCTAGCCCATTCACGTCCACTAGCTAGCCCATTCACGTCCACTAGCTAGCCCATTCACGTCCACTAGCTAGCCCATTCACGTCCACTAGCTAGCCCATTCACGTCCACTAGCTAGCCCATTCACGTCCACTAGCTAGCCTGTTCACATCCAATAGCTAGCCCGTTCACATCCAATAGCTAGCCTGTTTAGATCCACTAGCTAGCCCGTTCACGTCCAATAGCTAGCCTGTTTAGATCCACTAGCTAGCCCGTTTATGTCCACTAGCTAGCCCATTCACATCCACTAGCTAGCCCGTTCACATCCACTAGCTAGCCCGTTCACATCCACTAGCTAGCCCGTTCACATCCACTAGCTAGCCTGTTCACATCCAATAGCTAGCCCGTTCACATCCAATACCTAGCCTGTTCACATCCAATAGCTAGCCCGTTCACGTCCAATAGCTAGCCTGTTTAGATCCACTAGCTAGCCCATTCATGTCCACTAGCTAGCCCGTTCACATCCACTAGCTAGCCCGTTTAGATCCACTAGCTAGCCCATTCATGTCCACTAGCTAGCCCGTTCACATCCACTAGCTAGCCCGTTTAGATCCACTAGCTAGCCTGTTCACGTCCACTAGCTAGCCTGTTCACATCCAATAGCTAGCCCGTTCACATCCAATAGCTAGCTCGTTTAGATCCACTAGCTAGCCCGTTCATGTCCACTAGCTAGCCCGTTCACGTCCACTAGCTAGCCCGTTCACGTCCACTAGCTAGCTCGTTTAGATCCACTAGCTAGCCTGTTCACGTCCACTAGCTAGCCTGTTCATGTCCACTAGCTAGCCTGTTCACGTCTACTAGCTAGCCTGTTCACGTCTACTAGCTGCTGCCTGTAGAGGAGCTTTTTATTCAGCCCCCATTTAGAAAAAGGAAACCCACTCCCACAGTGACATCAGTTAACCGCTGCAAATAGATGCAACTCCTCACTGGGAGAAGGAGGAGGCGATAGGAGGAGGGACAAGGGTCAGCTCACCGCTCCTCTGGCATATTGTGCAAACCACTACCTATGGAGGGTAAGCAAGTTAACCAGTATCATGTTTTTGGATTTTGGGAGGAAGCTGGAGTACCCAGAGAGAACCCACGCATGCCCAGGGAGAACATGGAAACTCCATGCAGAAAGACCCCGGGCCGGGAATCAACCTCAGAACCTTCTTGCTGCAAGGCAGCAGTGCTACCTACTGAGCAGCCTGTGAAGAAGTAATCCTGAGGGATAAATAAAGCTGAGTCTAAATAGAATCCCTGCTCTTCCAGCAGTTACGGTAAATTATTTCATTTTAAATGCTGAAGCAGAAACACTTTTGGACATGTTGGCATTTTCAGATGCGAAAAAAGAAAATCGTTTATCAATAATTTTCTGCAGGAATTAAGAAACGGCGGCTGATCTAGAAAAATGATTCCCTTTAACTTTAATCCGAAAAACATCTGAAGGAGAAACACAACCAGTTAAACTTTAAACGGTGGTGACTGGAAAAATCCCAGTTTGCCTGAGATGAAGGTTAGAAGATCTGGATCAGAGAACCTGGAGCAGTTCCTGCTGAGGGCCCCAGAACAGCTGAGAGCGGCCCTGCTCCTCCGCAGTTGTTAAACTACATTAAAAGGACCATCAGCGCTGATCAGACCTGACTAATCATTCCATGGAGCAGGAGCTGAGGCTGTAGCTCCTCCATGCTGCTCCCTGCATCACCTCCCCCTCTCCTCCTCTTACCTTCACTCCTATTGGACCTTCAGTTCCCCAGGAGAATCTAGAACCTTCAACCGGTTCGGTTCCGACTGCAGCCCGCTGAGAAGAGCAGCTTTAAGGAATCACTGCTTAGCTGATCTGAGCTCTGCTGCGATCACAGCAGCATTTAATGGACCGAGCTCCGCCTACTGGTCAAACTACCGAACAGCACCAACTGGCAGCACAACTTCCGCTAGACTTTCAAAATAAAACCACCATTATTGTTCCTAAGAAAATAAAATAAATTCACTTGGGATGGCGAACAAGAAAGATGAAATAAAGCGGAAACACTAGTGGGGAAGTTAAATTCTATTCAGTTTATTTCTATAGCGCCAATTCACATCATGTCATCTCAGGTCACTTTATAGATCCAGATCAAACAGATCATCCAGTCAGATTGATTCAAAGTTTTCTATCTAAGGAAAACCAGCTGATTGCATCGACTCATTGACTCTTCAGCAATCCCTCACACTAAGCATGCTTGTAGCGACAGTGGAGAGGAAAAACTCCCTTTGAACAGGAAGAAACCTCCAGCAGAACCAGGCTCAGTGTGAGCGGCCATCTGCTGAGGCCCACTGGGGTTCAAGGAGACAGAAGCAGACATAGAAAAAGAAGCATAGATACAAAAGGCAACTGTCAACCAGCTCCACAGGCGGCCCCGTCCAGGAAACACACAGCCAGGCAGACGAGCTCCGAGCCAGCTCCCATGTCAGAGGATGAAGAGAGCACATCCAGTTAGTCACAGTCAGAGAAACAGGACTACACTGGAAACAGGCCAAGCTCCAACATCTAGAAACAAAGGTGTTGATGGCAGCAGCACAGCTGATATTTCTCTCCAGGATGGAGTCACAGCCAAACAGGAACAGACCAGATGAAGCTACTATGAGAAAAAGCAGAGAGAGCATAACGTTAGAGATTTAACCAACAGATTCTGCAGAGTGAGAGAATAGAGATAGAATGAAGCAGAAGGATGAAAAAGGGGTGCCTATGTCCTCCAGCAGTCTAAGCCTATATCAGCATAACCAGAGAGATAGCTCAGGATAACCTGAACGGAAACTTTTAGGCCTACCCTTACTGTAAAAGTAGACAGGGTGTCTGCCTCATGGACTAAAACTGGTCGTTGGTTCCACAGGAGAGGAGCCTGATAACTAAAAGATCTGCCTCCAATTCTATTTTTAGAAATTACTCACAGAGCAAAGCGCTCTGTTAGAAACATAAGCAACAATCTGATCTCTGATATCAGATGGAGCTTGGCCATTTAAGGTTCTATATGTGAGAAGGAGGATTTTAAATTCTATTCTGGATTTAACAGGAAGCCAATGAAGAGAAGCCAGAATAGGAGAGATATGATCTCTCTTTTTAATTTTCTTCAGAAATCTGGCTGCAGTATCTTGGATCAGCTGAAGGCTTTTAACTACAGTTTGTGGACTTCCTGATAGTAAAGAATTACAATAGTCCAGTAAACAGTAACACTTGTGTGGACTAGTTTCTCAGCATCACCCTTGGACAGGATATTTCTAATTTTTGCAATGTTCCTCAGATGAAAGAAGGAAATTCTAGAAACCTCTTTGATACGGGATTTAAATGACAGGTCCTGATCAAAAACAACACCAAGATTTTTTACTTTATTATCTAAAAATCAGTTTAATCCCATCCAAATGAAGTGACTCAACAATCAGCTTCTTTTTCAAAGACTGGTCCAAAGACTATAACTTCTGTTTTATCTGCATTCAGAAGCAGAAAGTTAAGAGTCATCCAGGTTTTTCTGTCTTCAGACATGCCTGTAATCTATGTAATGGGTTAGCTTAATCTGGATTATAGACAGATATAGCTGGGTATCATCAGCATAACAGTGGAAATTAATCCCATGCTGTCTAATAACTCTACCGATTGGGAGCATGTATAAAGTAAAGAGAATTGGTCCTAGCACTGATCCCTGTGGTACTCCACAGGTAACCTTTGAGCATGAGGAAGATCTATCATTAACATGAACAAACTGAATTCGATCAGATAGATAAGATTTAAACCAGTCTAGAGCTGTTCCTTTAATTCCAACAAAATATTCAAGTCTTTCTAAAAGAATATTATGGTCAACTGTATCAAATGCAGCACTGAGATCCAACAGGACGAGCACAGATACAAGTCCATTATCTGAGGCCATGAGAATATCATTAGTGACTTTCACCAGAGCTGTTTCAGTGCTATGATGAGCTCTAAAGCCAGACTGAAACTCTTCAAAAAATTTGGAATAAGTGTTATGACATAACACAAGCTTTTTTTTTAAATCCAACTTTTAATTTACATGTTTAGTGTTATTGTACAGCTGCAACCCAATGAATTACAATAGACCAAAGAGTTAATTTAGTTTTTAACATTCAAGTTCAAAAAGTGAAATTATTGAAGAAACTTCACATAAAAAATGTTCCATAAAACCAAAAGATCTTTTATTTACGGTGAGATGTAACCTCCACCGTGGAGAAGATGGCTTCACGCACCGAGAGGTTAGGATTAGTTAAACAAGCCGGTGGATTAACCAAAATGATGATATGTGGGGTTTCAAAGGTTTTAGTTTTGGACCAGATGATTAAAACGGCTCAGTCTGATAGTTTGGCAAAGACTTTATCAAATAATCTAGTTTTTTTTTCTACTTTTTATGTTTTAAATAGGGCCGTTATTGAAGGTAAAGCTGTGTTCATACCAGACATAGACGTGTGAACGGCTCCGTTTGCAAAGAGGTAGAACACCTAGAACAGACATGAGTGGCAGGGTAATATTATCACCCTAACTGTAGTGCAGACCTGACCAGATTCATCACCCAACCAACAGGACAACGTTAGTCTGTGAATTTATCTGTTTGTGACTGAGATTCAGGGCTTCCTGTTCTCAGCAGGACTTCAGGATGTTCAGATACTGTGGAGCCAGAGCTCGGCTAACGGTTATAACCAGGAAGTAAAAACAAACATGAAGAAAAGATGAGAGACAAAGACAGAAAGAATGAATCAGTCCAAGATGATTGAATTCAAAAATACTTTATTGATCCTGAAGGAAAATCTAATGTTCAAACTCATCAGTTTTTCTCTCCATCCAGCTGCTGGAGATGTTGATGCTGTAAAAAGGAAAGATCTTCTTCAGAGGTCTGTCTACAGCTGACCTGGAGAACAGAGTCAGGAGGAGGAGATCAGACTCTATCGCCATACCGCTCCACTTGTTTCATGCATGTAAATTGCTTTATTATAATTATGCAGGGAGTTTTACAGTTTATATGAACACTGCAATGTAAATAGAGCAGAAAAACCGAAGGAAAAAAAAGAGAAAAGATGAAAGAAAGAGGAGATCGAAAGGAGAAAATAACAAAACATTTTCAGTCTGCTTCATCACCTGGAACAAGATGAAAAAAGAACAGCACAACCGAAAGACACGGAACGAGATATACAATAAAGCAACACCTTGAAACTATCGCTAAAGTTATATTATTAAAGCTACAGTGTGTAATAATTACAGGGATATACAGTCAGAAATGTAATATATTATACATAACTGTGTTATTTATCATCATCTACGAGCTCAGCCTCTTAACCTTAATATTTGCGTTGCCTTAGAATTCGTTATTTATAATTACATAGGAGCGGTCTCGCAGCCATGGAGGCAGACATCTTTGCGCTACGGCAGCGCAGAGCCAACAAACTAGCGATTGCGATATCGTCCATTACAATAACACGCTGCGTGATGATGCTGTTACTCTCCAGTATACTTATTCAGCAACGTCCCTGACGTTTCACAGGTAATGATTCAGTAATTTTCTGTAAAATAATTTTCTGGATATATACCTCGGTTACTTCTCTCCGGCTCCTTTGGAGATCTTCAAGCCTTTCCTCCTCTGCTCTAGTCACCCCGCTGGCACCCCTCCCTCGCCTGGCCCTGGCTGCACGCCCACGCCGGCCTCTCTGCCCTCTTCCTCGCCCTCTTCCTCGCCTTGTAACCCCCGTGCCACAAACAAGACTTGGACTCTGTAAACGGGGAATATATATTCTTCCAGCGAACACAATCTCGCTGTTAAACTAATGACTACAGTTACTTCGTCTGTTTATATCACCATGCAAAGCAACGATGTAGAAAAAATAACGAGTATATTTATTATCTTAAGTCTACATGAAATCTATACCCTACACAGACTAATGAAATACTATCTGTAAAATTATCTATGTAAACAAACCTCATCACTTGAGAAGGTAGGTGATGCGGACGTCGTGGAAGACATTTTGTCCCGTAACGCTCGCCGTACTGTTGGGGGGGGGGGGGTGTTCATGTTGCTGCAGTCTGCAGTCTGGACGTTAGATGTCGCTGAAAATTACACACTGTAGCTTTAAGTCTGACATGTACTCTGTGTTACCTGAAGATATGAATGTGGGCTTTCTGTTTGGAAGTGGATCTCCTGGAGCCGAGCACCTGTAGTTTGTTTGTGATGGTGAACTTGTGCATGTAAAGTTCATCCATAGAAAAAATGCTCAATAGCGGTTGTGGAGAGCCGAAGAGGTGCCCCCCCCAGAGCACTGAGTCCAGCGCCGGGAGACCCGAAGCCCCAGGCGCCCAAAGGGACTCCTTTGGTCCTGGATCCAGGCAGGAGGTCTTCCACATCCCTGGAAGTGTCTCCAGGGTCAGACTAAGGGGGAAGAGGTGCTGTAGAATCCCACAGAGCTGCTCAGCACCACATTCCCACATTTCATGGTCCTGGTGGTGTTATTATAAAAACCTAAGCACACCAGATAATGCTGAGCATTTCCTGACCAGGACCGCGTTCATGCAGGCCAGCTGGACACGTAACCCGATCACATACAAGGAGTGAGTCTGTTCCAGGCTCTAAACTGCTGCCTCAGTCTCACCACTTCCTGTTGCAACAGCAGCTGGACCAGTGAACGGTGAATCAGCTCTGCTGGTTTCCACAGACTTGGTGATAATCGGTGTCTGGAAAGCTACTGAAATTCTCTGTGAGGTTGGTTAGCTTGGACGATTTAAGCTCTGACTGGATGGATCACCATGGGGAGATGCTGTCTGACATCCTCCCCCATCTGACCCCCTGCTGGCCAGAGTGCGATTAGCATTAAGGAGCACAACACCTTCACAATACAAAAATCACACATGTAAAAATATCTCCAACTTGGTATCAATAAGAAAAAAAAACTTTATTAAATCAAAGCTTGAACTCATTCAGAACAAAAAACTTCTCAACTTGTGCAAAGACGCATTTCAAGATTTCAAGGAGCTTAAAATTTGGCAGCAGTGAAAGGAAACTGGTTCTTAATTTCAGAAATCAGGATCGATGCGTTTGCTTCTTTAAGCAGAGAGACGCTCATCGCTTCAACCACTGCTGGAGGAGCAGGAGGAGGTGATCTCGAGCCTCAGACAGCTGTGGAAGATCTTGGCTCCTCGCTGGGTACATGTTGGCGCAGTGAGCCGTCCCTGGATCAAGAAACAAAACTGCATTAATCCCACAGAGGCTCCGCATTCAGGAATCACAGGCTGAGGAGAGTTGAGCTGAATCTGAACATCATTAAGGACAAAGAATGGAAATAAAAAGGAGTCTTAGCTTTGGAGGAAGCTACCATCAATGTTCCTCCCCTTTAACTTTTCCCTCACATAATGACAACAAACATCAACGCTTTTCTCTGGGATTTGATGAGATAAAACACAGAAAGCAGAAAAGGAAAATATGGTTTATTTAAGCAAAAGAACTCTTCTGCCTCGTCACCTAAAGTAGAGTCAATCTGTGGGATTTATTTTCAGCATTTAATCAGGATTAATTGCAACGCTCCCAAGGGATGGTCTGACTGGACCACCGTAACTGTTACTTTGGAGGAGCTCCACAGCTCCGGTTGAAGAGTCTGCCTACTGTGCTGGTATTTGACTCACTATCAGGTTAGTGGTGAAAAGTCTTCAGCGAAGGAAACAGAAGATGCTAAAAACATGATGCAATGATTGAGCCTCTAAACAGCTGAAAGAGGACACCATCATCATGGCTCACCTTTAATAAAGACGGCAGGAAGCTCAGCTGTGATGTCCTGAGTGATTCCCAAAGCGTGCCAGGGGTCGACGGACCCGTTGGGGAACACTATCCTGCTGGAGCGGATGTTATAGCCACCGTAGTACTCGTTGGTCTGGGCCACAGCTTCTGCCACCTCCTCAGCACTGATGTTGTAGAATCTTGCACACTGTTTCACTTGATAACTGCATTTAATTCAGGCAAATACAAGAAATTAAAGAGATCCAGTGTCTGGGAAATCCCGCCGTACTTCTTTAGGCTTCAATGTGTTTTACAGGCATCTATATGAATGACTAACACTAGTAAGTGCATAATGGTGAGCAGGAAGGAAGAGGATGCATGTTTGTTTGTTTTTTTAGATAGAAAGAAAGTATTGATGAAGCAATATTGATTTCATGTAATTCTGAATTCTGCAGCAGGAAAAACCAGGTTGTTCTGAGTTATTAGGAACCAAACAGGCTCATTTTAATCCAAATATCCTACATTCAGTAGCTCCACAGCAGCACTCCAATGAACAGCTGGAAAAAGCCGTCTCCATGGTGACATCAGAGGGGGAACACTGTTGGAGCTAGCTTAGCATGCTATAATGGAAACACGGATGAACATCGTCTTGAATTGGTTTGGGTGGTTGAACCATCAGCCAGTTGAAGCACAGATCTGATGATGTCAAAGCGACAGATCTGATGATGTCACACCGAGAGGCGGGACAAAGGAGCAACGGGAGAGAGGGAAAAAAACACAGAGTCAAAACGCTCTGATGGCAGTTAGCTGCAACCAAACTCTCTAAACTTTGGCTAAAGTAAATGAGCGGAAATGGGGAAAAAAGCAGAGATTATTGGGGGGGACGGTCCCCACCAGGCCAGAGTTGGTGTGGGTGATACCAGTACTTCAGAAAGTTACGCCTGTGGCATAAATTCCTCTGATTCTTCTGTTAAAACCATGAACCTAAAAAACATCTAGAACAGGATGCAGAGCCACATTATTGCCATGAAGCTAGGCTGTGATCGGGGGGGGGGGGGGGGGGGGACCCAGTGGAGACAGCTGTTAGCAGCTGCTATTGTTAGCTTTCACTGAACAACCAAGCAACTCTTCAGATGTGGGAAGAAAATAAAAACACCTTCTCCTCAAAATGCCCATAGCACAATAGAGCTCCAACAGGAGATAACATAAAATGAAAAGTTTAGTTTAACCTTTCCTTTTCAATGAGGAAAGATTAAGCTAAGAAGTGATTCAAAGGTGATATAAACTTTATTAGTAAATACAGAAAAACATAACTAACCCAGAGGAGCAGATCATGACACTTTGATGTCATTTGCTGCATTTAGCTTTCATGAATCCTTAAAACTATACGTCTGTAGGTGGATTTAAGAAAACTGTGAACATTTTTTCCTTCCATTTAATGAATATCTTATATTTTGTTTTGAATTTGCTGCTGCATAAAATACTATTAAGACAAATTACTAACCCTATTTGTGGATTACACAGCAAATGGTAAAGACTTAAAACAGTTATGTATGTTTTTCTCCAACAACAAAACGACTTTCTAAAACCAGAGAGGAATATATGAAACAGTGCATGATGTGAACGTAATTAAAGCCGATTGGGTGAGAATGTGCACTGTACTGAATCATAATCATGACCCTATTAGGCAGAAACACTATGTGCTGCACTTACCCAAGAGGGAAGCCTGTGAATGGCTGGTTTGGGGAGTCTGTGCTCTGGTAGAATCCAAACTCACTGCAGGTCTGGTAGACCCACTGTCTCCCTGACAACAGATAAGCAAAAATAAACACTGCTGCATATTCACTCAGTAAAAACAGAAGAAAAACAGGCAGCAACAACACAGAGAATGTAGTCTGAATATTAGCTTGAATGTTATAATGACCACTGTCCTTTTAGTCATTCAGATTAATGAACAGGAGAAAGCCCACAGGATGGCCTAAACTGACAGGATGGATTCGAAAAGTTATGCCAAAGTACCAGAGTGGCTTTAGGAAATCACAAGCTCTCTCTTTGAAGCTAAGGTAGAGACAGGCCACTAACATCTATCTCTAGGGCTAAGGTAGACAGAAGGCCACTAACATCTAGCCCTAGAGTTAAGGTACACAGAAGGCCACTAACATCTAGCCCTAGAGTTAAGGTACACAGAAGGCCACTAACATCTAGCCCTAGAGTTAAGGTACACAGAAGGCCACTAACATCTAACCCTAGAGCTAAGATAGAGAGAAGGCCACTAACATCTAACCCTAGAGCTAAGATAGAGAGAAGGCCACTAACATCTAACCCTAGAGTTAAGGTAGAGAGAAGGCCATTAACATCTAACCCTAGAGCTAAGTTAGAGAGAAGGCCACTAACATCTAACCCTAGAGCTAAGATAGAGAGAAGGCCACTAACATCTAACCCTAGAGTTAAGGTAGAGAGAAGGCCATTAACATCTAACCCTAGAGCTAAGTTAGAGAGAAGGCCACTAACATCTAACCCTAGAGCTAAGATAGAGAGAAGGCCACTAACATCTAACCCTAGAGCTAAGATAGAGAGAAGGCCACTAACATCTAACCCTAGAGCTAAGATAGAGAGAAGGCCACTAACATCTAACCCTAGAGTTAAGGTAGAGAGAAGGCCACTAACATCTAACCCTAGAGCTAAGATAGAGAGAAGGCCACTAACATCTAACCCTAGAGCTAAGATAGAGAGAAGGCCACTAACATCTAACCCTAGAGCTAAGATAGAGAGAAGGCCACTAACATCTAACCCTAGAGCTAAGATAGAGAGAAGGCCACTAACATCTAACCCTAGAGCTAAGATAGAGAGAAGGCCACTAACATCTAACCCTAGAGCTAAGATAGAGAGAAGGCCACTAACATCTAACCCTAGAGCTAAGATAGAGAGAAGGCCACTAACATCTAACCCTAGAGCTAAGATAGAGAGAAGGCCACTAACATCTAACCCTAGAGTTAAGGTAGAGAGAAGGCCACTAACATCTAACCCTAGAGCTAAGATAGAGAGAAGGCCACTAACATCTAACCCTAGAGCTAAGATAGAGAGAAGGCCACTAACATCTAACCCTAGAGCTAAGATAGAGAGAAGGCCACTAACATCTAACCCTAGAGCTAAGGTAGACAGAAGGCCACTAACATCTAACCCTAGAGCTAAGATAGAGAGAAGGCCACTAACATCTAACCCTAGAGCTAAGATAGAGAGAAGGCCACTAACATCTAACCCTAGAGCTAAGGTAGACAGAAGGCCACTAACATCTAACCCTAGAGCTAAGGCAGAGAGTAGGCCACTAACATCTAACCCTAGAGCTAAGATAGAGAGAAGGCCATTAACATCTAACCCTAGAGCTAAGATAGAGAGAAGGCCACTAACATCTAACCCTAGAGCTAAGATAGAGAGAAGGCCACTAACATCTAACCCTAGAGCTAAGATAGAGAGAAGGCCATTAACATCTAACCCTAGAGCTAAGATAGAGAGAAGGCCACTAACATCTAACCCTAGAGCTAAGGTAGACAGAAGGCCACTAACATCTAACCCTAGAGCTAAGATAGAGAGAAGGCCACTAACATCTAACCCTAGAGCTAAGGTAGAGAGAAGGCCATTAACATCTAACCCTAGAGCTAAGGTAGAGAGAAGGCCACTAACATCTAACCCTAGAGCTAAGGTAGAGAGAAGGCCATTAACATCTAATCCTAGAGCTAAGATAGAGAGAAGGCCACTAACATCTAACCCTAGAGCTAAGATAGAGAGAAGGCCACTAACATCTAACCCTAATACCTCCTCTAGGTAAATCAGATCACAACCTTGCTGAGAGTTTAAGCCACTTTATAAGAGATTACCTGCTTAAAAAGAACTGTAAAAAGATGGTCCCAGGAAGCTGAAGAAGCCCTGCAAGGTCGTTTTGAGGTTACAGACTGAGCTAGCACAGTCAGCCCCATGGAGAGGATATCAATGCAATGACTAAGAGGTGGGGTACACCCTGGATAGCTCGCCTGACCTGTGATGGGTGACTGACTACACAAACTTCTGTGTGACAAAATCTTATTTCCCTTTGGCATTAAAGTATTTATGCACTGAATTGAAAGTATTCCATTAGCTTTCTCTTTCTTTTAGAGCTATGGTCCAGAGTCTAACATTAAAAAAATGTAGAAAAGACAATTAAGTTATTCAGGTGAAGTCTATCCTTCAACATGAGTGAGGAACTCTCCACTCTGACTGTGAAACAGTGAAACAAAAGCTACTCCTTTTAAGATGGGTTTTTACTTTATGACCAACATGCAGGTCTAAATGTCATCTCTTGAGCAATCTCAGATGTTTTTCTACTTTACCCTTCAGGTTTTGCAGCAGCTAACAGTGTTTTCTTATTTTATTCCTGCCTAAAAAAAGACTTTCAGCTACACCCAAGTCTTGGTTCACTTAATTGCTAAAACCACATCCCCACACCCATGTCTTTTGGCTAAAATAACCCTAAATCCTTCCAATTGGACTTTTATGCATCACTTTGGCTGTAGTTAGAACATTTTAATATCACTTTTGTTTTTTCTGCTTCTCATTTTAGAAATCTTCCTCAAGCTCAGACATTCAAAACAGAAAATCACAGACAGTGTATGAAAATAGTTTATTTTAGATTCTTTGGGCAGAATATTGTGGCAGAGAGAGAGAGAGAGGTAGAGAATAGGTCATTAACATCTAACCCTAGAGCTAAGGTAGAGAGAAGGCCACTAACATCTAACCCTAGAGCTAAGGTAGAGAGAAGGCCACTAACATCTAACTTTAGAGCTAAGGTAGAGAGAAGGCAACTAACATCTAACCCTAGAGCTAAGGCAGAGAGAAGGCCACTAACATCTAACCCTAAAGCTAAGGTAGAGAGAAGGCCACTAACATCTAACCCTAGAGCTAGGGTAGAGAGAAGGCCACTAACATCTAACCCTAGAGCTAAGGCAGAGAGAAGGCCACTAACATCTAACCCTAAAGCTAAGGTAGAGAGAAGGCCACTAACATCTAACCCTAGAGCTAAGGCAGAGAGAAGGCCACTAACATCTAACCCTAGAGCTAAGGTAGAGAGTAGGCCACTAACATCTAACCCTAGAGTTAAGGTAGAGAGAAGGCCACTAACATCTAACTCTAGAGCTAAGGTAGAGAGAAGGCCACTAACATCTAACTCTAGAGTTAAGGTAGAGAGAAGGCCACTAATATCTTACTCTAGAGCTAAGGTAGAGAGAAGGCCACTAAAATCTAACTCTAGAGCTAAGGTAGAGAGAAGGCCACTAATATCTTACTCTAGAGCTAAGGTAGAGAGAAGGCCACTAACATTTAACCCTAAAGCTAAGGTAGAGAGAAGGCCACTAACATCTAACCCTAGAGCTAAGGTAGAGAGAAGGCCACTAACATCTAACCCTAAAGCTAAGATAGAGAGAAGGCCACTAACATCTAACCCTAGAGTTAAGGTAGAGAGAAGGCCACTAACATCTAACCCTAGAGCTAAGGCAGAGAGAAGGCCACTAACATCTAACCCTAAAGCTAAGGTAGAGAGAAGGCCACTAACATCTAACCCTAGAGCTAAGGTAGAGAGTAGGCCACTAACATCTAACCCTAGAGCTAAGGTAGAGAGAAGGCCACTAACATCTAACTCTAGAGCTAAGGTAGAGAGAAGGCCACTAACATCTAACCCTAAAGCTAAGGTAGAGAGAAGGCCACTAACATCTAACCCTAGAGTTAAGGTAGAGAGAAGGCCACTAACATCTAACTCTAGAGCTAAGGTAGAGAGAAGGCCACTAACATCTAACCCTAGAGCTAAGGTAGAGAGAAGGCCACTAACATCTAACCCTAAAGCTAAGGTAGAGAGAAGGCAACTAACATCAAACCCTAGAGTTAAGGTAGAGAGAAGGCCACTAACATCTAACTCTAGAGCTAAGGTAGAGAGAAGGCCACTAACATCTAACCCTAGAGCTAAGGTAGAGAGAAGGCCACTAACATCTAACCCTAGAGCTAAGGTAGAGAGAAGGCCATTAACATCTAACCCTAGAGCTAAGATAGAGAGAAGGCCATTAACATCTAACCCTAGAGCTAAGGTAGAGAGAAGGCCATTAACATCTAACCCTAGAGCTAAGGTAGAGAGAAGGCCACTAACATCTAACCCTAGAGCTAAGGTAGAGAGAAGGCCACTAACATCTAACCCTAGAGCTAAGGTAGAGAGAAGGCCACTAACATCTAACCCTAGAGCTAAGATAGAGAGAAGGCCATTAACATCTAACCCTAGAGCTAAGGTAGAGAGTAGGCCACTAACATCTAACCCTAGAGCTAAGTTAGAGAGTAGGCCACTAACATCTAACCCTAGAGCTAAGGCAGAGAGTAGGCCACTAACATCTAACCCTAGAGCTAAGATAGAGAGAAGGCCATTAACATCTAACCCTAGAGCTAAGGTAGAGAGAAGGCCATTAACATCTAACCCTAGAGCTAAGATAGAGAGAAGGCCACTAACATCTAACCCTAGAGCTAAGATAGAGAGAAGGCCATTAACATCTAACCCTAGAGCTAAGGTAGAGAGAAGGCCATTAACATCTAACCCTAGAGCTAAGGTAGAGAGAAGGCCACTAACATCTAACCCTAGAGCTAAGATAGAGAGAAGGCCATTAACATCTAACCCTAGAGCTAAGGTAGAGAGTAGGCCACTAACATCTAACCCTAGAGCTAAGTTAGAGAGTAGGCCACTAACATCTAACCCTAGAGCTAAGGCAGAGAGTAGGCCACTAACATCTAACCCTAGAGCTAAGGTAGAGAGAAGGCCACTAACATCTAACCCTAGAGCTAAGGTAGAGAGAAGGCCACTAACATCTAACCCTAGAGCTAAGGCAGAGAGTAGGCCACTAACATCTAACCCTAGAGCTAAGGTAGAGAGAAGGCCACTAACATCTAACCCTAGAGCTAAGGTAGAGAGTAGGCCACTAACATCTAACCCTAGAGCTAAGGTAGAGAGAAGGCCACTAACATCTAACCCTAGAGCTAAGGTAGAGAGAAGGCCACTAACATCTAACCCTAGAGCTAAGGCAGAGAGAAGGCCACTAACATCTAACCCTAGAGCTAAGGTAGAGAGAAGGCCACTAACATCTAACCCTAGAGCTAAGGTAGAGAGAAGGCCACTAACATCTAACCCTAGAGCTAAGGTAGAGAGAAGGCCACTAACATCTAACCCTAGAGCTAAGGCAGAGAGTAGGCCACTAACATCTAACCCTAGAGCTAAGGTAGAGAGTAGGCCACTAACATCTAACCCTAGAGCTAAGTTAGAGAGTAGGCCACTAACATCTAACCCTAGAGCTAAGTTAGAGAGTAGGCCACTAACATCTAACCCTAGAGCTAAGGTAGAGAGTAGGCCACTAACATCTAACCCTAGAGCTAAGGTAGAGAGTCGGTCATTAAAAGAATATGTTTGCAACATTTCTTGCCAACAAGCATAAAGGTTGTCAGGGTAAGGTAACAGTCAATCATCTTTGTCTCTAAATGTGCAAAGCAGGAAGAGAAATGTTCAGAAAAGTTCCGACCTTCCGACAGTAATCAGACTTTCATTTGAAAAAAAAAAAAGAAATAACTCGCTGTGAGAAAGTTCCAATAAGATACATAAATGTTTTAATGTGATGTAATATGAGTATTAAAGTGTAGGTCTCAGTAAACCCACCTCCCTCCGCAGCCGGCCCATCCCAGGACGTGTTGGTCATGTCTCTGACGTAGTTATTGAAGCTGCTGTCCAGGCATTTCATAGAGAAGGTGTCCATCATGAGGCGGGCCACAGCAACATAGCGGCTGTAAGGATCTCCCATCGAGGTGTTTCCCATTACGCCGCACAGCACCTTGATGGTTACATTGGTGCCTTGAACCCCCTGAGGTAAAACAGTGCAGGTGGACAGAGAGAGTCGGTTGGTTAATATCAATACTTACTTCAAACGTCGTAGTAAAGTTCCAACAGGGCGGATGATGGAAATATTTGGAGTGAAATCTGTCTGCTTTCCTGAAGGAGGCGCTGGTTAGAGAGATGAGCACAGGAGCAGGAAGCTGCAGCATCTGATTAAACCACCGTCCGATGTTAAAGATTTATGTCCAGAGCTCTACTGGACCATCCAGAAAGTATTCACAGCGCTGAAATTTTCCCATTCCGTTCTGTTCCAGCCTTATTCCAAATGGGACTAAATACATGTCTGTCCTCTAGATCAAACAAGCAGCAGCCCATAATGGTCCACGGAGAAAAAAACTAAAAGTCTTCACAGCTTTGGTTTAAAGCCGATCTTATCCAGCCTGGTCTCTCTGAACCTGATGCCTCAAGTAGACGGTTCTTCTCTGCACAACATCTCAGCGCCATTAGAGAGACGTCTGTGCAGCCATTTTAGATCAATTTGGACGTTTAATTGGACCAAAGCCCGGGTTCTGGCTCGGTCCCTCCGGAATATTCCCAGAGGTGTTCTGATCCATTCTTTGGCTCAGTCACTCTGAGGTACAGAGGTTTCCATCTAGGAGGTCTCTGTTCATTGCTCTATTCCTCTTATTCTGACAGTTTTTGATGCTGACAAAACATCCCATAGCATGATGCTGCCACCACCGTGCTTCCCTGAAGGGATGAGCTGCTGATTACAGCTGGATGGTTTCCTCCAAACATGATGCCTGATATTCACACCAAGAAGTTCCATCTTTTTTTCAGGTCCTCCTATCGTCCAGCTGGTTCCAACTTTCTGCTAGTGAAAAGTGGAGGAGGCCAGCGGCCTCGTTTGGATCTTCAGTGCAGCAGAGATGTTTATACCAACAGTTCCTCTGACCCCGTGCTTGCTGTTTGCTCTCTGACATCAGCGTCTGATGTGGGACCTTTTATAGACAGCTGGTCTGGGTCCACTCAGCCGTTTCCCGTTAGGTTGTAGAAACATCTGAAGAATGATCCTTGGAAGCCAGATGGAGCTCAGCTTCACTTGCTGCTTCATGGTAAAGGGTATGAAAAGTTATGTTTGGGACAACCTCCTCAACGTTTTATTCCTCATCATCATCATCATCGTCATCATCATCATCATCATCAATAGGATAGAGGAGGAGAATCTAGAGGAAACAGGTTAATTTAATGGTGTTAGATGCAGGAATTTGCTCAGCAACCAAAGGGTTGTCGGTTCCAGCCCTGGTTCCAGCTTTCAGTGTCGCTGTGTCTTAGGGCAACATAGCTGAGCCTCATTGCCTACTGTGGTCGGAGGGCAGCGTGGCTTTGCTGCAACTTGCCAGCGTCAGCTTGTGATTGAGTGGAGTACATGAAAGGCCGAAGGAGGAACAGAAGACATTTCTCCCGTCTTCTCTTCAGTCCTTCTAAAGTAGGACTGAGGATTTCCCGCCTACTGACCGGCATGGATGGATGGTCCATGCTGGCTGCAGTGAGAAGGTCAGAGTTTCACTCTGGTTGGAAATAATGAGACTAAACTGAGAACAGATTTAAAAAAAAAGTCTTTTTTTTCATCGTCATGGAAACAGGAGGTGCTGGTAAATCTTCTAGAAGCTACAGACCATAATAAGCTGCGGTGGAGCGATAACCCATTGATCAGGTTACGCCTCCTTTTTCCACACATTCCTCAGAAGAACCTAAAACCCGGTGGCCCGCTCCACGTCCCGCCTGCTGTGCCGGGAAGCTGCGCCTGTCAGGCGACGCTGTGGGCTCCACGCCCCACTGCTCCTCATTTCTTCACAGGCGTCTCTTTGGCTCAGAGCCACAGGAAACCAGAGAGACCAAAGAGTCTTTGTTGCTTTTTCACATCGGCTTATTGGTAACCGGACTCACGTCTCACTGAGGCGGCAAGGGGACAGAGAGGCGATGGAAGGGGAGAAAAGATGGGGGGGTGAGGAAAACCCTCAGAGGAGGAAACTGGCAGTCTGAACATTCACTGAAACCTGACATAGAAACGGGGGAGACGTTTCCCAGAGCTTTGCTCAGCATCTGAACCAAGATAAAGAGGGGTTTAAGACACTTAGACAGGTATGGGGCATTGCAGGCCAACAATTCCCTCTAACGACCCCCCCTTTCAGAGACATAGACAGGTATGGGGCATTGCAGGCTAACAAAGAAGCCTAACGACCCCCATTCCAAAGGGGGGGACCCGTTCATCCGTTTCTATTTGCATGTTTTCTAAACTAAAACCAGGCTTTGTTGGGCTGCTGGATAAAACCTGGAACTAAACGCTATTTCTGACATTTTGGATTGAAAAATCTTCCTGGATGGAAGAGAAACGTCTTCAGACTTGGAAACAAAGTCCAGAGGGTTGATTTTAGATTTTCTTTTGGAAAAACCATGATAAGCTTATCAAGGCCACAGCTTCCAGGACACCAAGGCTGCTCTGTTATGGCTGCATCTTCTCTGAGGACCATTAACTGAGAACAGCTGCAGCGTTTAGCAGAGAGGCCCCTGGGCTCCTGAGGGCCAGAAGAGCTGCCATATGCTGCAGGAATCACTGGCAGCTGAAATGGGATCATCTAAAACCAACTAAATTACAGAAATTAAATCTCTATGATTCATCTTTGTTCATTTTTGGTATTTCTCTGCGAGACGTTCAGAGGTCAGTGACTCTTCCAGCTGCTGCCAACAGTCCAAGGTGTCAAAGTTGGAAGATATGAGATTAGTTCCTGATTAGGTTTAGTTCCTGGGCTGGGCAGAGCTCCATGAAGTGCATGGATCCACACACAGTGTGGGAGAGGAGGGCCTTTCCCAGGAGCCAATCAGCTGCTGGACTAGAACCTGTTAATAATGTTCTGATCACCATCAGAACCCGTACGCCACCAGGACCCAGAGCCCAGCAGGTTAGACTGCAGCTGCCCCCCCCAGAACGTCCCCTCTGGAGCACAACAAAACCAGCTTCTTCTCCACATGGACCAGAACCATCAGCGCCTCAGGTGCATAAACGTTGCTATGGAAACAGCTATCCTCCATGTTTCTGCCATCAGCGTCCAGGAAATCCACTGCTTGGTTAAATGACACAGATCAACCAAAACAGTTCAGAATCAGGAGAAAACTCTGAATTTCACCTCGAATCCTCGGTTGTCTTCGTTATATTGGACAACGTCCATGAAGTTCCCAGCCAGGGTTTCCAGGAAGTAGGCGGAGTCAGACTCTGACTGGATCTGCAGCGGGGAACACAATCTGAGGAGGGGAAAGGAGAGACGGGAGCAGAGGAGGGAAGGGGGGGGGCAGAGGAGGAAGGAAGGAGGGGGGAAGAGAAGAAGGGGGAGCATAGGAGGAGGGAAGGGGGGGGAGCAGAGGAGGAGAGAAGGAGGGGGAGCAGAGAAGGAGGGGGAGCAGAGAAGGAGGGGGAGCAGGAAGAGGAGGGAAGGAGGGGGGAGAGATGGAGGGGGGGAGAGAAGGAGGGGGAGCAGAGAAGGAGGGGGAGCAGAGAAGGAGGGGGAGCAGAGGAGGAGAGGGAGCAGGAAGAGGAGGGAAGGAGGGGGAGCAGAGGAGGAGAGGGAGCAGAGGAGGGAAGGAGGGGGGAGAGAAGGAGGGGGAGCAGGAAGAGGAGGGAAGGAGAAAATGCAGTAAACGTGGTTTTTCAGACTCCTCCTTCTGTGACCTCCTCTAATGGCCGCAGTCACTGAGCTGCAGGAAGCCGGACGCTTCATGAACAGAACGTTCATCTAGTGAACGGATCCGTCTCCATCATAAGTCTGGAAGCTTCCACTGAAACGGTAGATTTAGTTTCTATGGAGACTAAAATCCCGTCTGGACAAGGAACAGGAAGCTGGACACGTCTGCATCATCTTCTCCTCTTCCCATGACGGCTGAGCTAACACGCTTTATATGACCTCAGGTCTGACCTCAGTCACTAAAACAGAGGAGACGGTGGTTAGAGCGCGATGGCAGACGGACAGCGAGCTCCTGGCGGGAATATGGAGGATAGAAGGCGGGGATAATCATCTGCAGCCTGCAGACCGTGACCTAACCTGGCAGTTAACCACTGGGCTGAACCGCCACAGAGATCAGGTATGGACAAGGTTCAACCCGAACCTGAACGCTCGGGCTGTTCTGAACGTACAACATGACCCCTAACGCCTAACCACTAGCTCCTAACCACTAACTGCTAACCCCTAATCGCTAACCCCTGACCACTAACCCCTGACCCCTAACTGTTAACCCCTAGCCCCTAACCACTAACTGCTAACCCCTAATCACTAACCCCTGACCACTAACCCCTGACCCCTAACTGTTAACCCCTAGCCCCTAACAGCTAATTCCTAACTGCTAACTCCTGTCCCCTATCCCCTAACCACTAACTCCTGTCCCCTAGCCTCTAACCGCTAATTCCTAACTGCTAACTCCTGTCCCCTAGCCTCTAACCGCTAATTCCTAACTGCTAACTCCTGTCCCCTAGCCTCTAACTCCTGTCCCCTAGCCCCTAACTCCTGTCCTGTCCCCTAGCCCCTAACCGAGTACCAATATGGCGGCTGGTGACTTCACTGCAGCCCGTACTACCAACAGCCTATCAGCAATCCAGTGAATAAATAGAGATCAGTGCAGTGATTATCTTACCCAAGAGTCAGTTAACTGAGTTCACTATGAAGTTCACTATATAGTGATGGAGGGGTCAGAGGTCAGGGAGCATCTTAAGCATTCATCCTTCCCACACAGATCTACCTCATCTAGATCTATGAGCCTCCTCAGCATGTTTGGATAGTTTAAACTCAGCTAACCCATCAAGGCGACGTTAATAACCTGTGAAAGATTCATCTTTCATCAAAAGTCGGGATTAGAATGAAGATTATTTGTATAAATCATCCAAAGCATCAAACTACTGGAAGCTCTTCTTCTCCTTCAGACCTACAGAGATAAAAATGTGAAGAGAAGGAAGCTGCGAGTCCTTCCAACAGTCAGTTAACCGCTGAGATGATGTGAGACAAGCATGGCGACGAACACAGCAGCTCTACGTGATTGGTCTGCTTACATTCCAGCAGCATGATGTCAGCATGAGAGGAAAACGTGACAGAAACAGAGCAGGTGAAGCTGCTTCAGACCCAACATGCTAAAAGGTTTTACTTGAAGTCTTTGGTGATGTTTTCAAAGGTTTTGGGGTCCTTCAGACGTTCCGCCAGGGCATCTGAAGCCTGTTTCACCAACACGGGGCAATCTGCACTTTCTGAGGCCAGCGAACGCCACACCACCTCCAGGTACTCTGAAAAGCAGAGAGAAGGGAATCATTGCTGGCATCCAGGCCCAACTGAAAGGCTCCAGGGAGGGACGATCTGAGCAGCTTCCTCTAAGCTCCAGACCAGGAGGGAAATCTACAACCATGGAAGTGTGGAGGTCAAAGGGCAGACGGACGACTCAGCACCAGCGTCTGAAGCCAACTGTGGAACAAGTCAGCCTGAACATCGATGCGCTTCCTTCAGGCCACAGTGAGTCAGAGGCGGCGGCGTGTGGCTGGGAGCAGGTCTATGCAGGAGGAAACCAGCAGCTGAAGCTCCGCCCACTGGCTGAGCCTAACATGAACCCCCAACGATCCGACTCCCATCAGGTGACTGCTGCAGAGACGTCTGATCCATGATGAAGACTGAGGAAGAGGAGGAGGAGAAGCAGCAGCTACGCTCCACTGAGCTCCGTGGAGCGGCCTTTAGCTGATGGACTTAAACCGTTAACTGAGGCATAGAGCTGGGGCCCTGAGCAAGACCCTTAACCCCACACTGCCCCCCGGGCGCCGCACCATGGCAGCCCACCGCTCCCCGGGCGCCGCACCATGGCAGCCCAATGCTCCCCGGGCGCCGCACCATGGCAGCCCACCGCTCCCAGGGCGCCGCACCATGGCAGCCCACTGCTCCCCGGGCGCCACACTGCCCCCCAGGCATCGCACCATGGCAGCCCACCGCTCCCCGGGCGCCGCACCACGGCAGCCCACTGCTCCCCAGGCGCCGCACCATGGCAGCCCGCTGCTCCCTGGGCGCCACACTGCCCCCGAAGCACCGCACGATGGCAGCCCACTGCTCCCTGGGCGCCGCACCATGGCAGCCCGCTGCTCCCTGGGCGCCACACTGCCCCCGAAGCACCGCACCATGGCAGCCCACCGCTCCCCGGGCGCCGCACCATGGCAGCCCGCTGCTCCCTGGGCGCCACACTGCCCCCGAAGCACCGCACCATGGCAGCCCGCTGCTCCCTGGGCGCCGCACCATGGCAGCCCGCTGCTCCCTGGGCGCCACACTGCCCCTGAAGCACCGCACCATGGCAGCCCACCGCTCCCCGGGGTCGCACCATGGCAGCCCACTGCTCCCCAGGCGCCGCACCATGGCAGCCCGCTGCTCCCTGGGCGCCACACTGCCCCCGAAGCACCGCACCATGGCAGCCCGCTGCTCCCTGGGCGCCACACTGCCCCCGAAGCACCGCACGATGGCAGCCCACTGCTCCCCGGGCGCCGCACCACGGCAGCCCACTGCTCCCCAGGCGCCGCACCATGGCAGCCCGCTGCTCCCTGGGCGCCACACTGCCCCCGAAGCACCGCACCATGGCAGCCCGCTGCTCCCTGGGCGCCGCACCATGGCAGCCCGCTGCTCCCTGGGCGCCACACTGCCCCCGAAGCACCGCACCATGGCAGCCCACCGCTCCCCGGGCGCCGCACCATGGCAGCCCGCTGCTCCCTGGGCGCCACACTGCCCCCGAAGCACCGCACCATGGCAGCCCGCTGCTCCCTGGGCGCCGCACCATGGCAGCCCGCTGCTCCCTGGGCGCCACACTGCCCCTGAAGCACCGCACCATGGCAGCCCACCGCTCCCCGGGGTCGCACCATGGCAGCCCACTGCTCCCCAGGCGCCGCACCATGGCAGCCCACCGCTCCCCCGGGCGCCTCACCACGGCAGCCCGCTGCTCCCTGGGCGCCGCACCATGGCAGCCCGCTGCTCCCTGGGCGCCGCACCATGGCAGCCCGCTGCTCCCTGGGCGCCGCACTGCCCCTGAAGCACCGCACCATGGCAGCCCACCGCTCCCCGGGGTCGCACCATGGCAGCCCACTGCTCCCTGGGCGCCTCACCACGGCAGCCCGCTGCTCCCTGGGCGCCTCACCACGGCAGCCCGCTGCTCCCTGGGCGCCTCACCATGGCAGCCCACTGCTCCCTGGGCGCCTCACCACGGCAGCCCGCTGCTCCCTGGGCGCCTCACCACGGCAGCCCGCTGCTCCCTGGGCGCCTCACCATGGCAGCCCGCTGCTCCCTGGGCGCCTCACCACGGCAGCCCGCTGCTCCCTGGGCGCCTCACCACGGCAGCCCGCTGCTCCCTGGGCGCCTCACCACGGCAGCCCGCTGCTCCCTGGGCGCCGCACCATGGCAGCCCGCTGCTCCCTGGGCGCCACACTGCCCCTGAAGCACCGCACCATGGCAGCCCACCGCTCCCCGGGGTCGCACCATGGCAGCCCACTGCTCCCCAGGCGCCGCACCATGGCAGCCCACCGCTCCCCGGGCGCCGCACCATGGCAGCCCGCTGCTCCCTGGGCGCCACACTGCCCCCGAAGCACCGCACCATGGCAGCCCGCTGCTCCCCGGTCGCCGTACCATGGCAGCCCACCGCTCCCCGGGCGCCACACTGCCCCCCAGGCACCGCACCACGGCAGCCCACTGCACCCCGGGCGCCGCACCATGGCAGCCCGCTGCTCCCTGGAAGCTGCACTGCTCCCCGGGCGCCGCACCACGGCAGCCCACCGCTCCCCGGGGGAATGGGTTAAATGCTGAGATAATTCTGTTGCTCTGTACTGGTAATAGTGGAGTGAGAATAAAATGTGGGAAAAATAAATAAATAAATAAGAGGAAGCAGTTAACCCCCCACCCCCCACCCCACCCCCCCCGTCTCACCTCCACCCCCCTGGCCTCCTGTATGCCCCCCCTCCTACCTGGGAAGTTGACTGTGGCCAACAGTGGTGCGCTCGTGGCCACGGCAGCATGAACCAAGTGGGGGAACTTCAGCCTGAACCAAGCAGCCAGGGACCCCGGGTACGACCCCCCGAACGCCACCCACTTCCTGTTGCTCAGCCCCAGGCTGTCCGCCATCACTGTACGGAAGTGGGCCAGGTCAGCCAGAGCTTGGCGGCTGCTGAGGAAGCGCAGACTGGACGTGCTGAGGTCCCTGAATGGATGAAAGGGGAGAAAGTCAACCATTTAAGGAGGAGAAGACATGTTTGTTTAACACTTCCTGAGTTCCTTTCAAAATAAAAGCTTTGATTGGCCCTGGGTCCATCATCGTAGCACAGCAGGGCTTCCCAGTATGAACCAGTTTACAGAACAGAGATGTTAACCATCAGATTATGGTTCGATGTTCCTGAAACTGAGTCAAGCAGGCATCAGGCTCAATGCAGGACTGCCCCTAGTGGTACAGCTTAGAAACTACATGTTTACAAGTTTAACTCTAAAATCATTTTGTAATTAATCCCAGTTAGAATCTGAACATGGACGCCCGTCGTTTAAACGGGGCTGTAAAGACATAGAAGCTGCAGCATAAAAATGATAAAGGATTTAAAATCTTCCATAAAGTTGGAAATGAAGCTCAGATGTTTGCAGCCAGCAGAACTAAATAACTGCAGAGATGCATCACCAGTCATGGTTCCCTCCTCCTACCGCCATCTTTCCCTGTAATTATTCACTAACCTCTGAGTCAACGAAGCCTCATGATACTCCGTCACATCAGGCGCTTCTATACCTGGAATCATTTCTTCTAAAATCCTTTCAACAAAGTTTTTTGGTCCTGAAAGCTTTAAAATGATTTAATCTTTCATTGTAGAAGCAGAATCTAGCTGCCACCTTTGATTAGCTTGAGAATGGAAGAGAAAACGTTTCTGCTAAGTGGATAAATAAAGCAGAGAAAAACATGAGGAGCAGAGAAATGATTCCCTCAAAGATTTCATTACCAGAACAAATATACTGACATCAAACTTCTGATTTTATTCTCTCTCCAGAGCAAGAAAAGAACAAATGCTGCCATCTGGCCTGGATTCATACTTCAGAAAATGAGCAATCTCCTGTCCAGGGGTGATGCTGAGAAACTAGTCCATGCATTTGTTACTTCAAGGCTGGACTATTGTAATTCTTTACTATCAGGAAGTCCACAAACTGTAGTTAAAAGCCTTCAGCTGATCCAAAATGCTGCAGCCAGAGTTCTGATGAAAATGAAAAAGAGAGATCATATCTCTCCTATCCTGGCTTCTCTTCATTGGCTTCCTGTTAAATCCAGAATAGAATTTAAAATCCTTCTTCTCACATATAAAGCCTTAAATGGCCAAGCTCCATCTGATATCAGAGATCTGATTGTTCCTTATGTTCCTAACAGAGCACTTCGCTCTCAATCTGCAGGTTTACTAGTGGTTCCTAGAACTTCTAAAAGTAGAATGGGAGGCAGATCTTTTAGTTCTCAGGCTCCTCTCCTGTGGAACCAACTACCAGTTTTAGTCCGTGAGGCAGACACCCTGTCTAAAAACTTTCCTTTTTGATAAAGCTTCTAGTTAGAGTGGCTCAGGTTATCCTGAGCTATTTCTATAGTTCTGCTGCTATAGGCTTAGACTGCTGGAGGACATAGGGACCCCTTTTTCATCATTCTGCTTCATTCTATCTCTATTCTCCCACTCTGCAGAATCTGTTAGTTCAATCTCTAACGTTCTGCTCTCTCTGCTTTTTCTCATAGTAGCTTCATCTGGTCTGTTCCTGTTTGGCTGTGACTCCATCCTGGAGAGAAATATCAGCTGTGCTGCTGCCATCAACACCTTTGTTTCTAGATGTTGGAGCTTGGCCTGTTTTCCAGTGTAGTCCTGTTTCTCTGACTGTGACTAACTGGATGTGCTCTCTTCATCCTCTGACATGGGAGCTGGCTCGGAGCTCGTCTGCCTGGCTGTGTGTTTCCTGGACGGGGCCGCCTGTGGAGCTGGTTGACAGTTGCCTTTTGTATCTATGCTTCTTTTTCTATGTCTGCTTCTGTCTCCTTGAACCCCAGTGGGCCTCAGCAGATGGCCGCTCACACTGAGCCTGGTTCTGCTGGAGGTTTCTTCCTGTTCAAAGGGAGTTTTTCCTCTCCACTGTCGCTACAAGCATGCTTAATGTGAGGGATTGCTGAATACTATCCTGGTTTAGATTCTCAGTCATCCAGGTCAAAGTCATTCCAAGAAAGTTAAAAAACAATCGACTGGACTCGTTTTTTTTTAACTTTCTTGGGAGGATTGTCTGAAGAATCAAGGACTGAATCCAGACAAATGTCATCAACTCCAGTTCATCCAGGAGGATCATTTCCTGCAGGTAATTAACTTAAAATGATCTCAGGAAAACAACCTGAGATGATGTGCTGTAAAATACAGCCATAGAAATAAAGTGAATAGAGAAGCAGTGAATGGGAATCCATCCATCCTGAACTGGTGTGATAGATCTACACGCAGCAGAGGAGACATTTCTATATTTCTATGTTTAGCAAATAGTGTCTCCAGGCGAATCATCTGGACCAGAGGTTACCGACCTTTTGAAGACTAAGAGTCATAGAAAGGACTACTGACCTTTGACCTTTGATTCAATGTTTCTTTTAAATATTGTTATTTTAAATCTCTATAGATGCTGGCGTGATTGAAAAAGCAGCAACATTTCAAACTTAGCCCTCTGGGGAGCTGTGCTGTCGGCCCCCCAGGCGGTTCCAGGGGGCCCCTTGATGCCCACGGGCACCGTGTAGGCGACCCCTGGAACCTGAACATTAACCATTGGCCTACGTCGTGGGGTGACTCTTCCCGTAGAAACGGTGCTCCAGCAGGAAGCAGAGGGCTCCCACTTCCTTAGCGTAGGTGAGCCAGGTGCCTTCCTTCATCCATGCGGGGTTAGCAGGGCCCTCCCCACCAATCATCAGAAACACGGGGCCTCCAGGCTGGTAGAAGGCATCGTTAGTGAAGTATCTCTGTGAGAGAAAACATGGAGATAGATGAAAACAGAGCCAAGCCAAACTATCGGCACCCGTTCAGCTCCTGGTTGGTCCGGTCCCTCCAGAGGCGTGGGAAGGACGTGGACGCAGCACTATTTACACAAATAAACATCAGAAAAGCATGAGGTGCGTTTTTCAGCCACGCCAGGCTCCAACTTTTCTGCTTTTTTCAGAGGTTTGGACTTCGATAGATTCTAGTCTATTATTGGACAGGGAGCTGCTGTGGACTGGACCACATGTTCATCTACTCTGCTTGGGCTCCATGCCCCGCTCTGGGGTCTACGGCGCCCTCCAACAGTAACTCACTCCATCAAATCAGACCACAGCATGAAGCTGCCACCACCATGTTTCACTGTGAGAGTGATTTCAGGGGACAGTTAATATTCAGTTTGTATGAAGTTACAACTTATGACAAACCGCTGAGGCTTCACAATATACTGAAATAAAGTGAATCAGTTCACTAATCAGATCATTTCTGAAAGATTATCATTTGGTAAAATTGTTGGAAGTTTTACTTCCTTTCATCCAAACCCAACTTCTTCCAAGGTGTGAATACTTCTGGAAGTAGTGAGTGGAAGCTCTACAGATACACCTGACAGCCCTCTGACTGCTCAACACTTACCTGCTTCCACACTCTGCTGTCTGCCCCGTTGAAGTGATCCAGTCTCTGAGTGAACCACAGCTCCTCAGACTCAGCCCCCTGGGGGGGATCATGCAGCACATTCCCTCTCCTGAATCCCTGGAAGCGACCTGCTGCCACAGCAAGCAGGCTGAGCGCAGCCACACACCGAAGAGCCATGATGGATCCACAGCAACAGCCTGAAGCATGTGACCCGTTCAAGTCCAGTCACATGAATAGCTACAGGATACTTCATGGACCGCCCAAATCCATAGGAATTATCAGCTGTTATATCATATATCATAAATGTTATATGTGAGAATGTTATAAATGCGGTTATATCATAAATGTTTGAAAAAAACGAGAAAAACTTTTAACTCTCCGTCTTTAAAGCAAATCTTAAGAAAAATGTTCGCTGCAAACGTTACTTATGGAGGGGGAACTAGAGATAAACCGCCAATGATATTTTCCGACACTCTTTATGTAACCTGAAGTAGCATAATCAATGAGACACCAGGGGGCGCTGTAGAGAAACACGCAGAGTTTCCTCTCATCAGAAGAAGTCAACCTTAGTCTCCGGTCTCCTCAGGCTAACCGTTAGCTGCCACCATGGAAGATCCAAAAAAGAAAGAAAACAAGCCTTCAGAAAAGGCGACAGACAAGGATAAAGAAAAGGAAAAGGGACAACAGTCCTCTGGGAAAGACAAAGATAAGAAAGAGGAACAGGAATTGGTAAGTCTGGGAATGTTTCATTGAAACTGGGCTTAGAAGGAGGTGGGTGTTGGGAGCAGGTATTTGCCTTAGTCACCGCGGTTCACCGGTCAGCGGGGTGCAGCGGGCTAACTACTGCCTCTGAGGCGCATTCAGTCTGCTTGGTTGAAACTTTACTCAAATATATTAGCGCGCGCCGACAGGTTCAAGAGCCATAAATGGAGAAATGAGCAAAGTTCAGCGTCATTCGCTGCCGTTAGCCTAGCCAGCTCCGTGTGCTAGCAGCTAGCTGGCTGTGCTAGCTGCTAGCGGGCTGTGCTAGCAGCTAGCGGGCTGTGCTAGCAGCTAGCGGGCTGTGCTAGCAGCTAGCGGGCTGTGCTGTATGACACAGCAGTTAACCCAGCGCTTCATAACACAGAGCGAGGCTTCCTTCAGTTAAATGATATCAGGTTGTTTAAATAGATGTTTTTAATGCTGAGGTTCGACCTGACTGACCGGAAATCATCTAATGAGGAGGAATTAAATGCAGAGACTCAGTTTCCCCACTGAGGGACAATAAAGACATTTAGAGAACATTTAAATACCTCAATCTGTGTGCTTCACTCTTACATGGCTCTCTGTGTGAATACTGCATGAAATAAGCTATATTATACTACAAGAATATATATTGTATGAAATAAACTATTATACTACGTGATATATACTGCGTGTTGCTACATACATACTACATGATCAGATTAAAGATTGGAGTGGTGAGCATCTAGTACAGGGGTATTCAGGTAGAACTTAAAGAGGTCCACTCTGAGATTTTTCATGACGCCAAGGTCCAAAATACATACATCCTCTGCAGGAAGTCCAAGTGCTTCTGGGCCCTTTGGACCAGTGAGGTGGTGTTTCCAGTCCAGGTGAGGGTGTCTGTGCTGCTGACTGTTGATGAGCAGCCAGCTAGCGCAGTGACCCCTGACCTAGAAGGATCCATCAGCCTGTGTTTGACCTCCATCCATCACCACCTCAGCTTCTATCCTTCAATCTCTCCTTCCATCATTCTCCATGATAAACAGCCGCTATAGAAATATGGAACATAGATTTATTGTAAGAGCTGTGTGTTTTGAAGATCTCAGAAATGAGTGAAATTGTCCATGTTAGGATAGTTATGATTGAAGATGTGAGTCTAAACACCAATTACACCCTGCTAATGGCTGCCTGATGCTGTTTCAATCTAATTAGGACAGTTTCTCTGTCTGGATAATAGTTAGCATCTTCATTCTGTACGTGGCAAAGATTTGGAAATGGAATGAAAACGGGATGGGGTTGCTGCGCTAGCTGGCCGGTCCTGTGGGGCGCCGGTTCAGACACAGATGTACATTTCTATATTTTTTCATAAGCTAGTTGTATACAGGCTGAAATCAGGGCTCCTCCTCCTCCGCCGTGCTGGAACAGTGTCTGCTGAAACCTCTCTGGTTGGTCTGAGGAGCGTTTCTTCACAGTTGCTTCATATTTAGATGCAGAGTTTGACAGATTTAGTTGCAGCCATGGAATCTATATAGAGTTGATTAGCAGAATAATAAGGAATCAGGCTGTTTATGATAAACTCTGTTACACTTTTTAAACCTTATTTTACCAACTAATTGTTTTACTGCTTTATTTTTTCTGTTCAAATGTCTTTGATGTTTCACAGCCAATGGTTGTAACTTTGTCCTCATGTCTCAGTCAGAGGAAGACAAGCAGCTCCAGGAAGACCTGGAGATGATGGTGGAGAGGCTGAGTGTGAGTCTTGCTTCCTGCTCTGCATGTTCACTTGCTGGATCTGTGGATCTGAAGGCATATTTCTCTACAGGAGAAGAACACGGCCTTGTATCGTCCAGCTTTAGAAGAACTGCGTAGACAGATCCGCTCGTCCACCACCTCCATGACCTCCGTCCCAAAGCCCCTGAAGTTCCTGCGCCCGCACTACGCCAAGCTGAAGGAAATCTATGAAGGCATGGCCCCCGGAGAGAACAAGGTGAGCCTGGTCTGCTCTCTGGGTCACATGGCTGCAGTTTCACCGCCGAGGGAGGGAGAATGGAGGAATGAAGCACCCAGCCTAGGCTAGGCTAACCCTAGCCCTAGGGGAGTCTAACCCAGGCAGCACCGTCCCCTGGCCTCACCCTATGTGTGTGTTTTCCGTTGCAGCGTTTCTGTGCGGACGTGGTGTCGGTGTTGGCCATGACCATGAGCAACGAACGCGAGTGCCTGAAGTACCGCCTGGTGAGCTCCCAGGAGGAGCTGGCCTCCTGGGGTCATGAGTACGTCAGGTAAGTCCCTCAGTCCCGCCTCCAGCTGATTGGATCCCCGCCTCCCATGTGCAGCTTTCAGCCAATCACCATCCGTTCTGAAAGCGGTTCTCTGCCTCTGGTTGTCATGGTGATGTCAAACACATCTCAGTGGATCTTTATAAAGCTTCTAGTTTCTCTGGTTCTGATCTCTACAGATTCGCTCTGTGACATCAGTTCTTCATGTCCGCAGCAGGTAGAGCGCCTAAGGATCCACTTTTATTCGAGGTGTTAGACAGACGCTGTTCTCAACCAATAAAACCTGAATGATCCAGCCAATCAGAGAGAGAGAAGAGGGCGGGTCTTTGCAAAGCAAGGATTGAAGGTTTAAAAGAACAGAAGGAACAGATGCATGAATGAAGGCGGCGCTGGTTTCTTTGGGTTTAGATGAACCAGCTGCTCGTCAGGAAGGTTGCTTCAATAACCAGACTAGATCATCAGCAGGTCAAAGGTCACCACTGCTCTCTGTCTGTTAGGCACCTGGCAGGTGAGGTGGCCAAAGAGTGGCAGGAGGTGGAGGAGAACGACAAGAGCCAGCAGCAGACTCTGCTGAAGCTGGTGGAGGAGATCGTTCCGTACAACATGGCGCACAACGCAGAGCACGAGGCGTGCGACCTTCTGATGGAGATCGAGAGGCTGGACATGCTGGAGGACTACATTGACGAGAACGCCTACGGGAAGGTCTGCCTGTACCTCACCAGGTCTGTGGAGCTTTTCTCCCACGCTTTGCTCCAAAGTGAGGCTTCATGTTGACCGGCCTCCTGTCTCCAGCTGTGTGAGCTACGTTCCTGAGCCGGAGAACTCTGCGCTGCTCAGGTGTGCCCTGAACATCTTCAGGAAGTTCAGCCGCTACCCAGAGGCCCTGCGCCTGGCCCTCATGCTCAACGACATGGAGCTGGTGGAGGACATCTTCACGTCCTGCAAAGACACGTGAGCTGCAGCTGGACTTCCTGTGAGGCTCCGCCTGCGCAGCTCCGTGCTCCTAATGACCTCCTTTGGTTTGCAGAGTCATCCAGAAGCAGATGGCCTTCATGTTGGGCCGCCACGGCGTCTTTTTGGAGCTGAACGAAGACGTGGAGGACTGTGAAGACCTGACGGAGATCATGTCCAACGTTCAGCTCAACAGCAACTTCTTGGCCCTGGCCAGAGAGGTAAGGGGCTGACAGAGCGTCGCCGCCGCCGCCCGCCTGCAGAGCTTCACGCCAAACTGTTTTCTTTCTTCCAGCTGGACATCATGGAGCCCAAAGTGCCAGATGACATCTACAAAACCCACCTGGAGAACAACAGTGAGTCCTGATCTGTGGAGGCCTGGCTGCAGCCCGCTGATCTTCTCTGAGCGGCTGATGTTTTCTCCTGCAGGGTTTGGTGGCAGCGGCTCCCAGGTGGACTCTGCTCGGATGAACCTGGCCTCCTCCTTTGTGAACGGCTTTGTGAACGCCGCCTTCGGACAAGACAAGCTGCTCACAGACGACGGCAACAAGTGGCTGTACAAGAACAAGGATCACGGTAGGAACACGCACAGAACATGGCTGCCAGACGCTCAGCTGCTGCAGCTGCTGTGACGCCTCCATTTGTCCTCCTCAGGCATGGTGAGTGCGGCTGCTTCTCTGGGGATGATCCTGCTGTGGGACGTGGACGGCGGCCTGACTCAGATCGATAAATACCTCTACTCCTCTGAGGACTACATCAAGGTACGCAGCACGAGGATCATCATCATCTAGCTGCAGGTGGAACCCACCCAGGTGTCCTTCTCAGCTCCATGGAGCCTGTTGCTATGGCAACCCCCCATCAGGGCAGGAGGGGGGGGCGCCCTGCCAGCTGAGCCCCATCGGGGCGAGGGGGGGGTCCACTAGCTGCGGGTTCTGTAGTCAAACGATGATCCTGCAGGTAGAAGAACCATCAATGCTTCTCCTGCAGACCAGGAGCTGTCGGAACCTTTCGCTGCCTGATCACCTGACCTCTTCTTCTTCTTCTGCAGTCCGGTGCCCTGCTGGCCTGCGGCATAGTGAACTCAGGGGTAAGGAACGAGTGTGACCCGGCGCTGGCTCTGCTCTCTGACTACGTTCTCCACAACAGCAACGTCATGAGGATAGGCGCCATCTTTGGGTAAGTGCTGCGCTCTGAAGGCTGCTCCTAACGTCATCATGATGTCATCATGTGGGCGTGTCTCTGCTTTCAGGCTGGGTCTGGCCTACGCCGG